TCATTCACCTTGGAGAGGCCATCACTCTTAAGAACTTCTTGCTTTGGTGGTTCATACCGGTGAATGTGATTTTAAGTGTCCTGGTTGGTAGTTTATTGGGATATCTGGTGACAAAGATATGCAGGACGCCGCCCGAATTCAAACGCTTCACCATAATCGCAACCGCGTACGGTAACTCTGGAAATCTTTCCCTTGCAATTGTTGGGTCAGTCTGTCATACTGCAGATAATATCTTCGGCCCGAACTGTCAAAGTAATGGTGTGGCATATGTATCGTTCTCCCAATGGGTCTCGGTCCTTCTTGTGTACACTCTTGTTTATCTAATGATGGAGCCACCATTGGATTATTATGATGTTGTTGAGGAAGAAGGTGTTGAGATTCAAGAGCAACAGTTGCCGCTGGCTAGTGATCTTAGCAGACCGCTTCTTCTAGAAGCCGAATGGCCCGGAATGGGAGAAAACGAGACTGAACATTGCAAGACCCCATTCGTAGCAAAAATCTTCTCAACTGTCTCCAACATCTCACAGAGTTCGATCCCGGATCCTGATAGTCCTACGCAACTCAGATCAATCGCGTGTTTGGCTGAGCCACGTGTGGTGAGGAAGATGAGAATCGTCGTGGAGCGGACCCCGATCCAACGGGTCCTTCAGCCACCGATGTTTGCCACGTTATTTTCTTTTGTTGTCGGGATGACACCACCACTCAAATCTTTTGTTTATGGTGATGATGCCCCTCTCTCGTTTCTAACGGACAGTTTGGAGATAATGGCGCAAGCTATGGTTCCTTCAGTCATGCTTATTCTTGGAGGAATGTTAGCCGAGGGTCCTAATGAGTCTAGGCTTGGAGTTCGGACCACGGTGGGTGTGATTGTTGCTAGGCTTTTGGTGCTTCCTGTACTGGGAATCGGGGTGGTTACTTTGGCTGACAAGGCGGGAATTTTGATCCCAGATGATGAAATGTACCGTTTTGTCCTCCTTTTGCAGTATACAACGCCTACGGCTATCTTATTGGGAGCAGTGGCTCATTTGAGAGGGTATTCAGTCAGTGAAGCTTCTGCACTTCTCTTCTGGCAACATCTGTTTGCTTTATTATCTCTTTCTATATACATGATTGTATATTTCAAGCTACTGCTTTCTTAAAAGTAAGCTTGGCAGTTATACAACTTTATTTTTATACAATAATGTTGTTATTCCTAGCATCAAATTTGCCAATGGAATGTTTGTATTTTTATATTTATTTTTTCCTTCCTGCTATAAGGGAACTTGCTTGTAACATTTGCCCCATGAGGATGATATCTATCAGTTTGCGCTGTCAGTACATGTATATTGAATAAAATGCATAATTAGTCAACTTGAGATTGACATATGATTTTGATTAAAGATTTCACGTTGCAGATCTGAAGCATATGTTTCTCCATTTCGGAATGCTAAACATTTAACATTCTTTATTACTCCTTCCCTCTCTCAAAACTTTGTAACTTTCCTTATTTGGTTGTGCATCTCAAATTTTATCATTTTCATTCAAAGTACATACTGCCTCCATCTTAGAAGGTTTGTCAAATTGACTTTTATTGACCAATGATATTTTTAGGCGAAATTCACAAGAATAATTCCTACTTTTAGGGATTCTACAACAATAAATCATAGTGAGAGTATTCCTAGAAATAATTTGAACTAGCAATAATGCCCACAAGTATAAATTGACTTTTAGGGATTCTACAACAATAAATCATAGTGAGAGTATTCCTAGAAATAATTTGAACTAGCAATAATGCCCACAAGTATAAATTGAGTTGAATTCAAACTAATGTCCGTTTAATACTCCTACCTCCACTTTCCCTTTCACTAATCTCCATCTCGGGTAACACTTTTATCTTCTAACCTAGAGAGAACCACTTATGACGAAAATGTCGTTGAAATTTAATAGGTTTTAGCTTAAATTCACCATGATAAGAAGCTAAGGACGGCAAAGAGAAAAATAGTATGAGTTGAGAATATTAAATGGGCACTAGTTTTAATACACCCCAATTTATTTCTGTGGACGCTATTGTTAGTTCAGATTATTTTTATAGAAATTACTTCAAATATGACTAAAACTATGGCAAAAACTCAAAATAGGACTTGCTATGTTTTTTTTTCAAAATAGGACCATAGTGGTCCTATTGGAAACATACTCATTTCTTCCTTCCATTCTTACCCCTCCTTTAAATATTAGTAAAAGATAGCTAAAAGTCATAATTAAATGTTTAATTCATAATAAATTCGAAAAAATTTCAATAATTCGTAGAAAAATAATAAAAAAATTAATAAAATTTTTATAAAATAAAAAATAAGAATTTTTTTTTTTAATTTTTTTTAAAAAAATTAATAAAAAAAATAGTAAAACTCCATAAAAAAAATTAAAAAAAATATGGATACGTTTCCCACCGCCTGTACTACCTCCCTGAACCACCACCTCCGATCGGTGTAAAAATGCCACTTTTTTTTTAAATTCCACAAAAATGGCATATTTCTCTATGAGAATGCCAACATTTTCATTCTGCCAACTTGAATCCTTTTGACTTTTGCCAAAAATATGGCATTCATAATTTTTTTGGCATTTTTTTACCCCGGTGACAGGAGGTGGTGGTACCGCCTCCCTGCACCACCACCTCCGACCGTTAAAAAAAATGTCATATTTCCTACAAACTTCCATTTTTTTCGGAAAATGCCAAAAATATGGCATATTTCTCTTTGAGAATGCCAACATTTTTTTTCTTCCATATTAAATCATTCTGAATTATGCCAAAAATATGGAATTCATAATAAATTTGGCATTTTTTCCCCAAATGACTAGAGGTGGTGGTGCTGGGGCGGTATAGGCGGCGGTGACAAAAAAAATATTTTTTTGATTTTTTTTTAATTTTTTTTTATTTTTTTTATTTTTATTTTTTTTAAAATTTATTATTATTCAGAATATTTTTATTAATTTTTTGGTAAAATTTACGAATTTTTATTATTTTTTATTATTTTATTATGAATTAAAACATTCCAATAGGTATAAGGGTATATTTGTCCAAGACAAACATAATTAGTCCTATGGAAACATAGTTTATTTTTGGGTCCTATTTGTGCAAAGTGAATGACTTTTAGTCCTATTTTGATAATTAACTCTTATTTTTATGAACACTTTAAGTAGAGATTAGTATTGAAGAACCCTTAAAAGTATGTATTTTTCTCAAGAATTTTGCCTTTTTTAAAATACGAAATTATTTTGAATATGAAAACTATACAATGTTCCTTATTAAAATGACATCCTTCAATTGTTCAAATTGTTGTAAATGTGGTCCTTCGAGGGGTGAATTATACAATGTAGTTCATGACTACATTTACACCAATTCGGACAACTGGGAGTTACATTTACACCCTTGGGAACACAAAGATTAAATTTCATATCATTGATATTTGAGAGACTAAAAGTGGGATTCTCCCAAAAGATTTTCATAAAGGTATACTACAATTTATAATCTATATAAAAAAATATAATAATTGAAATCATTGTCAAATTTTGCCATACAACATAAAGTCAATATGACAAATCTTTTTGGGATAAATGTAGTAATATATATAGAGTTAAAAATGATTTCTCTTTTCTCTTTATAAATCTCAATCAAATAGATTTTTTTTTATTATCTTAGGTAAAAGTCATTGAGTAAGTTTTCTAAGATGAACGCGAGTAATGGTGAAGACGGAACCAGGAAAACATTACGGGGTCCAAACTTATACATGCATTATCAAAAAGGTGAAACTTCATTAATCAATATTTGAGTTGAATATTTGACATGTAGTTGGCATAAATGTTTATTTTAAAAGATATATAGAGTTATTTGTTTGATTTATTAGTAGTACTCAATCCGTCCTGCTAGAATTATCTAATCTTTCCTTTTTTTGTCTATCCTACTAAGATCGTCTTATACCAAATTTAGGGGTAGTTTGTTTTATGGCGGATCGACATACACCCACTGCAAAAAGTAGCGGTTCTATGTGTAAAAGCAATAGCGGTTTGGGGAAACCGATGATTTCCAAACGACCGCTTAGTAATATTTGTGGTTTTAAACAATTCCGATTTTATTCTTACTTTATAAATGTAATATCATTAAATTAAACTCACACTTCTTAATAATTGCACCACTTTCTCATATCCCAATGTTGGTGCGATAAATATAGTATATATTATATGTTTCACGTAATTAGTGAATGAATAAGATATACTCCCTCCGTCCCGGAAACAAGTTCTCACTTTCCTTATTTGGACGTCCCAAAATAAACTTGCCACTTCCATATTTGGCAATTATCAACCTCAAAATAGGGCAAAACAGTGTCAAACATGGCAATACAGTGCCAAACAGTGTCGAAACAGTGTCAAAATAGTAAAATTTATCCCTCAATAACTTTATTTCCTTAAAACGTGTGAAAATCAACCCGAGAACTTGTTTCCGAAACGGAGAAAGTTTGTAATATATTTTAAAATTTGAGAATATGCCTAATACTTTGTATTACTCCCTCCGTATCAAATTAATTGACCCGTTTGCTTTTCACGCAGTTTAAGACAATTACTGTAGACTTTATTAAAAGTAAGAGGTTTTTGGTACTGTAACGACACTGTAGCGGTACTGTAGCAGTATTGTAGCTGCTTTTTGAGTGGGATTCTTTCCAAAAAGGGAAAGAGGTCAATTAAATTGATACACCAAAAAGGAAAGTGGGACAAGTAATTTGATACGGAGGGAGTACTTGTTAATGTTTACTCATTTTAATTTTAGATAACGATTATTCTCAGGAATTACAACTTTTATTCCGAATGAATTACCAGAATCATTTTAAACTTTTAATTTTAAAGTTTACAGTTTTTTTATTCTAAAAAAATATTGGTATTTCAGGTATTCTTTACATTCTCGAACTTTGAAGGGGTAAGATGAACAACTTACTCCCCAATGAACGAAGTATACTTTCAATTTTAAGATAATTTTATTGGCATGGACACTCGAATCTCCGTTTCATCCCATAAAGAGCAGAACTCACTTTTTGCATGTCTTCCTCTGCCAATGTTGTGTTTGACTTGCACAGTTCACGTAATGAAGGCCGCCTTTTTTAAACCGTTAGTATAATCCCAGCGATTTTTTCGCTTTCTTTTCACCTGCCATTTCCATCCCACTCAAATCTATGACCTATCTGATCCATCAAATTCAGAATTCATGAATTAGCGACTTCAAAAACGAAGACGACACGATTCCACGTCCAAGAAATTACAGCGATAAAATCGGGAAGGATAGCGAGTGGAGAAGGATCGTTTGGGAGGATTCTCCAACCACTTCTTTGTGGCCTCTTAAAACAAGTGGAAGTCAATGTACAATGGTAACGTTCCCAAACACTCGTCTCTGTTCATGATTGGATAGTATATGGGCGGAGCAGTTCAGTTTGACCCGTTTTTCATGAAATTGGCATTATTGAAATCACAATCATGAATCCCCATACCCGTTTTGAAATTTAAATGATTATTGGGTCTTAGAAAGGGATGTCCAAGATGGTGTAAGTATTTCCTCATTTGTAATTCTTTGAATTTCATTGTTCTTTCCTTGTGAATGTCTCTGCTGATGCCTAATAGACAAAAAATTGGGTTATATATATACTATATATATATAGTATTTTAATTCTGGGGAAATGGGGGATTGGAAAACTTTATGTGTCTTCAATAATGTGGCCCCTCTTCCCAATTTTCATCTGTTTCTATAGTGTTCAGCTTTATATGGTATCATACTTATCTGTTATGTGATGAATGATCATGGTTTCAAAGCATCGTCATATGCATACATAGTTTCATTTCAATGGTAAAAAATTTAATATGGACCATAATTGTTGTTATTCATGCATTTTAGTTACCGAAATTTAATGAAGCAATTAGTACATTAAATACATTTATTCATTTTAGAATGGTACCGTTTTAAAATTTCGGTCAAATAGTCCTATTGGATAATCTTAACTTCACATGAATTTTGATAATATATCACGAGTTATATGCAATACTTATTTGTTGCAATGACTATATTAACTGAATGAGTGAATGTGATACACACGATATGTGGACCATAGAGTATTATGCTGAATAATCTAAGGCGAAATATTAAGTAAATATACTTAGAGTGCTATATTCACTTAATAGTTGGATACTAAAACACAATCATACTAGTAGTTACTAGTTAGAGTACTATTTATGCTATTATCCCTGCTTTTAAAGAATAAAATTACCACAAAACCAACATCATATAAGAGGTCTTAGAGTCTTAATGTTTAAAACAAAGGTAATAGGGTGATAAAGTTCCCAACTTTTTTTGTTGATATTTGTAATATACTGAAAAATCCAAATATTTTCGTAATGCAGGTTAACTTGATCGGGACGTACTTTACAAAGAATTCAGATTAGAAGAAAAAATATAACTGAGGGTTGCATTGAAGTCCAGCAATTTCTTGATGTTCTGTTTGAAGTATGGGAGACCGTTTTGCTTTACCAGTGGGATTGATGCTTACTGATTCAACCCTTGAAGCGATTATACAGAGCAAAAATCTCTCGCTACCCGCTGCTGTTGAAAATTTGAGTGATGACTTTAGTTCCCATAGGATTGATATTAATGATCAAGGGGTAGGATCATCACCAAGAACATTGTTATTGGTGGAATGTAGGATTTGCCATGACGAAGATGAAGATTTGAACATGGAGATACCCTGCTCCTGCCGTGGAAGCTTGAAGGTTTTATTAGTAGCTAGTAAATTCCTTGAATATACATGTTTTTACTACTTGAAGGGTTGTAAAATACTTATTGACATTAGTCAATTCAGAATTACAGGTCACTTATGAAGGTTTTGTGTGCAGTATGTCCACCGGCGATGTGTGCAGCGATGGTGTAATGAGAAGGGAGACACCGTCTGTGAAATTTGCCACCAGGTTTGTCTCTTAAGGGCTTGTTTAATTTGGTTCATTGATTTCGAAAATAAATCAAGTGTTATTATTTGATTCCATTGTCTATTTTAACAATCAACAACTACCCTAGTATTGCAATCCACTTATTAGCCACACTATCCTATACCATATTATCATTTTGTTGGTATGTGTTATTTTTTAGTGTCAGGAGTTTTCTTTCCTATCTACTTGGTGGTAAAGCCAAAACTTCTTTAGCTGCCTTGTCTGAGTTTTCGAGTACCGTTGCTTGTATGGTTGTAGCAACCCATGAGCTGACATGTTTTATAGCTTGTTGTACATACCTTATAAGAGTAAAGGAGTGAGAGAAAGGTGCAGTCTTTGTGTTCTGCCATAAGCTTTGTGCAATCCTCTTCTCCCTTCACTTTGTGCTATTCTTATCTACTTCCTATCTACTTCTTCTCTTCTTTGTGAGGGTGTTATAGTAGGATGAAAAGTGTAGGAAGGGCTTGATAAGAGGTGGTTTCTCTCTTTAGAACTAAGATTGTACTCAGTAAGATTTAACAATTCAGATTTAATAATTTCAATTATGTCGTTTTATTTCCTTTTACAAACATTTCATTAATCAGTATTAGGACCTCCAAAGGCTTTCCCTTTGAAAATGGTTTATCTTAAGAAATAATTAATTATATTTGGGGGGTTTCCTAAAACATTACTGAATAGAACTTAAAAAAATAAAAATATGATTACAATTACTATTGATATGTTCGACATAGATAGTATTAAATACAGTCTAAAACTGAACATAGCCGTAGTTCGTTTTAGAATTTTACATTGTTTTTACTCCTATTTCGAGAACTTTCCCTTAAATGGTACTGCTACGGCCGTAGAAAGACACATTTTTATCTATGATCTTTTATTTTACTATATTATCAATTTTATCATAAACTCCAACTCATTTCAATGCTTCCATCTTTGTTCTTGTAGCAATTTAAGCCGGGATATACAGCACCACCGCTTCCTTTATTTCATCATAGTAGGATTCCATTGAACTTAAGGTACTTATTTAACTGATGTTCAATCAACTATTCCTTCTTGTTTCCTAGCTGATAAGAAGCTATTCATATTTTCTTGTTTTCTATAGAGAAAACTGGTATACTTCTGGTAGAGACCGTCACATCCCTCCATACATTACATTGGTTTCTACAGAACACAATTTCACGGACCCGAACATTCAAGAGCATTGTGCATATACTCCAAGGAGTTTGATTTGCTGTCGCGTAGTTGTTATAACGGTATCCCCTCCTCCCCGTAATAAAAGGTTACAATTCTCATTTAGGGAAGAAACTTATATTTTCCTTCCTTGTTTTGCTGATGTTTATGCAGTTCATGCTGCTTATGATCCTACGTCATGCACTACCGGTTATCATCTATGGGGGCAGGGACTACTCATTGACACTGTTCATAGTATGTGGTACAATTTGGTTTCTTCCAAAACAAACTTAATCCTACCTTTGTACCTAAATAAGATTGTTTGTTAGAATTGACACCGTTATATTTGAAACTTCTTTTGTTATTTGGCTTCTAAGACATCTTAGATGAGGCCAATGTAAAATACAGATGACTTTAGTTACTCTTCAAGTCCTAATATGATTTCGGAGTATATGAAGCTTCAATGAGTATTTGGATAGTGAAATGTGCATGTTTTTGCATGCAGTTTTTGGTACTAAGAACTATTGGAATTCTATTGCCAATCTATGTAATGGCAAAGGCTGCTTTTGCATCAGTTAGGAGACGAAGACAGAGACACCCTTCAGAGGTGAGGGTTTGCATGAGATTTCTCACATTACTCCCCTTTCTCTATAAAGCCCTATTTGGTAGCCAGTTCTGGTTTACATTATTACATATTCTGCTTATGAGAAGTTTAATCAGAATAAGTAACATATTCAACCATTACCAAATGGGACATATTTTTGCAGGAAATATTGCCAAGCTACTTTGAGTTATAATGTGCATCTTTTTGGGTATATCTAAATATCTTTGCTAGGATGGCGATCATAACTCTAGTCTTGCCATGTTAGAAGAAGGAGATGAATTATTACTATTGCAGCCCTCTCAACAATCACAGATGGTTCATCTTCAATGACAATATGGAGACTTTTTACTCATTGTCATCAGGCTAACACTCACTGCAGAAACCTGGGGACTGGGGTTGAACTTTGCTTCTTTGAAAGCTAATTCTAGTTCATAGGATTCTTAGTATGACAATCTCATCGCACATGTATTGGCTTTTAGGGGTTAGTTTAGTGGCGACAGTGATACCTTCGCTTCAAACCATTCTCTAACTAGGTCTTGATTAATCTCCTGTACAAGCTAACATGTTCTTCTTGGCCAAGGAATTATATACTCCGTATAACATAATCCTAATTACGGTGAAGGGATAGGAACACTTTTCGTATTGAGATCCAATTTAACCGCGACAAGTGAGGCTAGTACAATTGAGTGATCACATATCACACTCAAGTAATTTCCTTTTTATGGTCCTGACACCAAGATATATACCAAAAATGAGGTAAATTTTTTTTTACCAAAAATGAGGTTAGATGTTTTTTCTAATATATGATTCTTTTGAGTGTTTAGGAATGATCCATTGAATTTGTGCTTTCTTCATTAAAATAACATTTGCGGAAACTATGATTACAAGAACTTCAGAACTCTTTGGAACATTTTCTATATCATGTTTTTTCTTAAAGTAATTTGAACACGTTTTTTCATTTTCTTCAAGGGAGGCAAAAATGGGAGAGATATTGGGGGTGAGGGTAGCAAGGGGAGGGAAATGAAAAAGTTGTTAATAATTTGATTAAAAATGAAGCGAATATTTGTTAATAAGTCAAGGAAAAATTACTGAAATATGAGTAAAAAGTTTGAAAAATACAAAATAAAATTATCATATTTTTATTCTCAAAATAGGAATAATTACTGCTAAGTTCGGAAAATACTATCATGTTTAAAGTCTGATACTGCCAAAACATGACAATAATTATTCTTATTTTGAGAATAAAAATATGATAGTCCTATTTTGAAATATAAAAACGTTTTTAGTCCTATTTAAGATAATATCCCATAAGTTAATACTCATTTAGCCATTTATCAATGTAAAAGAAGAAGATAAAAAGAGAGCATGAAACTAATCACAAAATACCTGATATTGAAATGCAAGTTATCACTTTGAAAAATTCCTACTTGATGGAGATGAATGAATAAGAATACTTGGGGGTGAGGTGGAGATGTGTCTCTAGCTCTTCCTCCAACAATTTGGAGATTCAAGTTTGTCAAGAAATGTGAGAGTACTCCGATCCAATCGATCGATCATATGTCATACTCAAGTTATTTCTTTTTGGAGCAGTGTTGACTTCAAGATATCATGAAAGAAACTATAATTTTTTCTTATCTATAATTCTTTTTAAACAATTCAATGAATTTGAAAAGTCGCGATTTGCACTCTCTTAATTTCATTAGTAGTTCAATAAGTATTTTTCTATCTTATGTTTCAAAAAGGTTAAAGTAGTGTTTTAAGTTTTTTTTACTTAACTTTAGTCACTTAAAGGTAATGGTTGAAAGATGAGGAATGATGCTTAAAACTATATTTACATTTCCTATAATTATTTACCCTAAAAAGAACCAAATAATTGATTTTACTAATGAGTCCAACTTTACTTTTCAAAACTTTCTTATATTTCAAACACTTTAAACTTTTAAAATTATCCATTTTTCAATAATTTTCAAAACAAATTACTTCAAGAGCACAAACAAATATAAATTCTTTTTAAAATAAATATAAGTTCTTTTTAAACAAGTAATTCAGCCCAAAATGTAAAAATAAGAAAAAGTACAAAATAAAACACTCCCGCCAATTAAATCTACCGCTTATAACCCGTAATCGCATAGCGTTCCCGGTAACCACTATAAAAAGGAGCCGCAACCAAAATTTTCTCGGTAACTCCACCGAACATTTCCCCGTTCCCTCTCTCATCGCCCTCTCTGTTTAAGTATTTTCTCCTCTACGGCTTTTCCTTTAGAAGCCTACTACTCGGTTCTTCAATGATTCCATGAATTTCTGGGAATCGGAGGTTTCTTCACGGATTCTCAGTCTGGACATTTCCGCCGCACCTTCCTTTCTTCACCAGTAGCTTCAACGCAATGAGTGCCGTTAACCTCTGTAACGTGGCTGTATTGGACAATCCGGCACCCTTTTTGGCCCCTTTACAGTTCGAAATATCATACGAGTGCGTAACTCCTCTCAAAGACGGTACTTTTCCCTTCCCTTTCTCTTCTACTTTTGATTGTGTCTTACGTTTTGTTTTGGTTTTCTACTTTGCTGTGTAATTGTTGCGGTGTTTCTGCTTTGGTATGGATTGAAAGTAGACTACGAGAGCTAGGGTTATTTAATTTGGTAATTTGAATCTGTACGGTTAGGGGTTTTGGGCATTTCATCTAATTTTTTTTGTGCCGTATTTATTTAGCTTGCTGATAATTGGAGAAATGAACTGACATGATCATTGACATCAATTTGTCGCGATTGAGTTGCATTCATCCACTATTTTGAGTTTGTATTTCCATTAAGGTTTTCAGATATCAAATCTGACTCTTTGTCTAAAGTATGTATTTTGCTGGTTGAGAGGGGAAGGTGATATTATTGCTATGGTATGGTTGTTTGGGACACACTATAGGTAGCTTGTATATCATTGATCTTGCCTTGGTTCTTTGCATTACTCCATTGAAAAGCCTAAGTTTATTATTTTCGTATTATTAATATGTGATAGGGGTTTCATGAAGAGTTCTTTTTCTATTCTCTTCCACAGCATAATAGAATTCAACATGCAATTGCAAACTACACTTTGATAAGAAATTGACAGCATCATTGAATATTTCTTTATATGCAGACTTGGAATGGAAGCTTATCTATGTTGGATCAGCTGAGGATGAAACTTATGACCAACTGCTTGAAAGTGTTCTTGTTGGGCCAGTTAATGTTGGGAATTACCGGTTTGTCTTGCAGGTATGACCCTTTTCCCCTTAACTAATAAATAACTTGTGAGGTTTATTAGGATCATTTAGTTCCACCAATTCATCTACATGTACAGGCGGAGCCTCCAGATCCCTCAAAGATCCGAGAAGAAGATATAGTTGGTGTGACTGTCCTGCTGTTGACCTGCTCCTACCTGAACCAGGAATTTATAAGAGTAGGGTACTACGTAAACAATGAGTACAATGATGAGAAGCTAAGAGAAGATCCGCCTCAGAATGTGCTAATTGACAGGATTCAGAGAAGCATACTATCAGACAAGCCTAGGGTTACCAAATTCCCCATTAACTTCCACCCAGAAAATAATAACGAAAGTAGTGACCAAGCCCCCCCTCCTCCACCTTCTGATGGCCAGGTCACTGGAGCAGAAAAGGAATGATGGGCAGTGACATCAACCGTTTTTTCACCCGTCGCTTTGGTTTAAATGGTCTCTAATGAAGCTTTTCATCCATCTTGAAAACTTGCTATTTCAACTTCCTTTTGTCTCTAACACCAATCTAGTGTCGAGGTGATGGTGTGGTATGTTTTGACAAAACTTCATATTTTGCTGAACTAAATGTCTTGGTCTCACTGGCAAGTTTGTTATGTTAGTAGATCATCTGCCCTTCACTTGTCCCTGTTCTTAGATCCCATATTTGCAAATGGTCTTTCTTTTTTCATTTTCAGAAATGCAGAACATTTGCTATGTACACCTAATCAATATTGAACATGTCATCACTCGGCCTCGTTTTCACACACATATATATATCCTTGATTCCTTGTTTTTTTTAACGAAACTGGCTTAACTTATCATAACCATCCTTGATTCCTTATTAAAATAATTTCTTATATCTTGCGTATTTAGAATCATTATCCAATTTATGGAGTATATATGAGTATAGTTAAAGAAAAATACAAGCTACCTTCCTCGTTAGTACTAGCCCTAGCCTTTAGCTCTCCCGCAAATAGTAGCTGCAAGCCTGCAATACCTAAATGTGTCTTCTCGTTGAACCTGCAACCACATGTTGACGGATCAGGGGTTGAGGCCTGGCATTAAAGTTAGGAAATCTGTCCAGCCAAGCTGGGTGATTTAATTACACATTTAACGGTCATTTGTCTGGGTTTATGTAATTAGCAAATCTTAAGGTCTTCTTTGTTTGTGAGTTAATTTTAGTTTCAAATCTTGAAATCTTTTCTACTATATACGGCTCCTGTTCGCAGGGCCCTATTCCATACAGAAAAGGATCAATTTCCGAGATCCATCACAAGATTCACAAGTTCACTACTACATACTCCCTCCGTCCCCTTTTAAATGTCCCGGAAGAGGGTGTCACGAGTTTTAAGAAAAATGGGTTTGTGTGGTTAATATTGATTGATAAAGTAAGAATAAAGTAAGAATGATTTTGAGCCACACAAACTTTACCAAATAAGGTATGTGACAATTAAATAGGGACATCCCAGTATGATAAAACGGGACATTTAAAAGGGGACGGAGGGAGTATCTCACAAGTCACAATAAAATATAAAAATATTAACTAGAGTCTAGATATAGTTGTTATAAAGTCCGCAGTAGTATGATCTAGGGATGGACCGGGACCGGGCTGGAGCAGGGAGGGACCGGGACTAAAATTTTTAGGCATGGTACTGGCCCGGGTTTGTACCGGGACCGGGCCGGTCCCGGCCTAAATCACGTCTTTGAGGTTCGACCAAAATCATGTCTAACAAAATAATTTTCATTTTGATCATTTTTCTCCTCATGAATTACACTGTCTTAATCTACGTGCAAAATTTGGAAAATTTGGAAAAGGTATTATATAAAGACACACTACATAAAATTCTTTTGTCCCGAATTAATCTTAGTTTTTATTTATACGTCTCTAAATATAGTCTTTTTGTGAAAAAGGGATACACATATTACATTTAGCCGTTTGAAATATAAAAAGTGATTAGTTTTTCATTTTTCCAAAAAAAAATGATTACCTTTTTGTTTAATTAATTTTTTTGCTCATTGTAATTTATATCCAATCTCTGCTCCGGTGCCAACCCACTGCCGTCAAAAAGTGCTTCGGAAAAAAAGCCGGATATTTTGCATATCCTTTCTTTCAATTTTTCATTCTTTAAAAATTTGTGAGGATGTGTTGGAATATATTCGGCGGTCACAGTGACATGTTTCACAGTGGCAGTAACATCTTTTGCAACAACAATTATAATCTCCAGTGAAATAAAAATCTGACAACAAAATCGTGTTTTATCCATATATAAACGTAATCACTTTTTTGAAAATGAGTTTAATTTATTCGTATTTAAAGAAAACACTTTTCACGTATGAATTTACACGTAGTACTACCTTGGTCTAGTGACCTAGTCGGGAATCTATAGTTACATTTATAACCAAATGGGGTTGTTAAACTTAGAGACTCCATGATTAGATATATCTTTACAAGATAATAAGCATGAATGAGAGTAAACCTATTTTGGGTATTAAAAATTTGTTGGTGGTATTGTATAGCAAAATTGACATGTACTAAATGCTTAGGTAAGTGTACATCATCCCACGAGTAGATATGCATTACCAAACGCCGTCTATCACCCGTTAGTATAACCTCAAGCACCTAACCAGTATTAACCGCTCAGGGCCCATTTGATCACACACATCCCGTCTTCATCGCACTTGTTCGCCTCTTCACTTCCCTATTTTCGTTTTTTCATGGTATACCAGAGGAAAGCCGAATACCATGTCTGATTTCATTTCGCCATTTACTGGTTTCATCTCAAATCATTAAGATGGATGTGGAAGAGAGTCCCCAATCGCAAAGCAATCACAACCATCCCCTGTTGACATGAAACCGTTGATCGGAGATTCTCTGCTCTAGGAGACCTGTGGCTTGCCACCGGATGAAATTATCTCCTCCATTCTGACTTATCTTTCTCTTCCGATCGTTCCCCTCCCCTTATAAATGTATATATTGTTATGTTGGCAGATGTTTTTTCCTATCGATCACTCTTTTTCTCTTTCACAGTTTCAGGTAAGCCTTATACTCATTCTCTCATTTCTTATATTTTTAATTCACCTTTCTCTTTACTCAATTTCACAATATTGACCATGCAAAAGTTTTTCCAATGCACCGTGCTTGTTTACGGTTTGTAGTTACGTAGTTACTAGCATTTCATAAACATAAGGGTTATAGGCATTTCCAATTTTATATTCAGGGGTTTAAGGAGCAAAAAGTTTATATCAAACACCATATTTAGAAAAGTAATTAGCACAATAGCTAAGATGAATGTGATTCTTAAGAGCTAGGTTCTTGATATTACAATAAAATAAGAACCAAAACAAGAAAATTAACATGTGTGCCAGTTCAGTTAAGTTTCAAGGGTTTTGGTCGGTAACTGTCCGGGTGTGAAGATTGAGAGGAGGTGGACATGTGGTGGACGACCCAAGGAAAATGAACTTTTAATAGTGTTTAATTAATGTGTGATTATTGAATAATAACCTGCGTGCTACTTTAGGATTTGAGTAGGGTTAGAGTGATACAAACATAGCTCCTACAATAGTTGTGTTTACTGATTAGTAGTTTTAGGCACTAAGTCGAGTTTTAAGAAGTTTGTTAAACTATTAAATTAAGTTATAGGAATTCTATTAACTTGTTTTGAGTACTAAATTGTTTTTTAAGTTGTCATGATAACCCCATGTAATTCAAGTAGATGAATTTTTAGTCCTTAAAGCATATATTTTAGTTCTTTTTTGGGGTTATCATGGAGTGTGACTTGGTAAGTTTACGTGTTTTTTTTCTACTCGGAAATTAAATGGTGACACACAATGATACACTTTTGTAGCCTATGTTACGTTCTACAAATAGTAGTCTTGATTTTTTCCTATGTTTATCCTATTCATCCTATACCACTACTCTAAATTGTGGGAAAAGGTAAGGGAGAAAGAAATATGACATAAGGCTGAGAAGGTAACAAATACTTCAAGAAAAGGTGTTAAAGTATATTAACTATTGAGATATATTAAGCTCTTCATAGTGGCATAAAGCTAGGAAAATGGAAGGATCTATGAAGTCTAAATCTATTTTAGAAGTCAATGATTAATTCCAACTGAATTATCACTTTTCAAAAGAGCTTTTTAGATGACAAAAGCGACAGGGAATATGTTATTTAAAACTCTAAGCACAAAAATGATGGTGTTCTACTGACATACTCATTTGCTTTTCTACTTCGATTATATTTGAACTTCCTATTGTACTATGCTTTTGTACTAAGCTTTTTTACAGGACCACCAGGTCGGGGGTTGGAGCCGGGCGTGTCCGTACCTACGATACATGAGTGGCTAATTTTGCCTTTGGTATTGCATCAACAATTTTTATGCATCTTTGTAAATTTTAAATAATACTTGTATATAACTACTCAATGTTTCCCTTGTGTAATCTATTAACATATTCTAATATTATAGCTACAACAATCAATTGAGCATTTTCTCATCGCGCAAAGCACATCATATAACTAGTATTATTTCTATAAATAAGAAAAGGTTAGACAACACAAATTATACGGTGGGATCGGCGCACCGTGCGCACGATGTGCCGATCCTTAAACGGCGCCTTTTTAATTAAAATTAATCACCTTCTTCCTTCCCAACTGTCGAAGCACGTCGTTCATCCCCTAGCAGATTGGATTTGGAGCCATGGAAAAGCATATGAAGCCTGAAGAGAAAGCTTCGATATCAGGGGAAGAACTCTTACGATGTGTTCCTGCTTGTAAAATAAGTCTTGGCCTATTCTTTGATCTTGTGGAAAGAATCGGGGGAATGCAAGTTGTACTTACTATCATCATATAATTAAACCTAATGCCATTTTTTTCATTGTGTGTCACATTAGAAATCTTCAATGAAAGACGTTTTATATTTCAATAGGCTAAATTTACATTTCCCAAGTTATATCTGATTTGGTTCCAAGTTATGTACTACGTAATACTTTTGGATATAAGTAATTTACATTTCAATGAGTTATATTTGAATGAGTTTAATTTACATTTGATTAACCTAAAGTTAGGTGTTGATTCACACGATTTAAAGGAAGATTATTGATCACTTATGTGGTGTGGATAAAGATAATAATTATTCGATTATAGAAGTGCCCAACATAAAGATAAACCATGGTTTCAACCTAGTCAACTTGATGCCTACGGTTAAAAAACCAAAATGACTTACAGGACTGATTTGGTTAAGAAAACCGGAAGTAGGTTAGTAATCGGAAAACATGAACGACCCGGGAAAAAACTAGAAGAATGATTGGTGTACCCCAATGTGTACCGTGCTCGTGTACATGGGCATTTTGACAGAAAATTTTGCCCTTTTCCAAACGAATTGTCTGTGTACACAAGCAACTAGATGGTGAGTACAAAATGGAGTACAAATTGAGGTACCTTTAACATTTGTGAAAAACCTAGGATCATATCTGAAAAACCCGAGCAAAAAACAAAAAATGGGAAAAATTAAAATAAAGTAAAAATAAACAAAAAATAATGAAATAAAAACCAAAAAACCAATAATTCCTAAAATATTATTCCTGAAAAAATATGTGGACCTCTTCCACCGCATCCTCCGCCCTAGCTTTGATCGTACGAAATATGTTATCTTGTGGGAAAATGACCTTTTTACTAAATTTTACCCGACCCCTTCAAAGATATCCAACTTTGCTTAAAAAACTCACTTTTTTTTTTTTTTCAAATTAGCATTTTTTCCTGGCAGTGAATGGTGACCGTGTTGGAAAGTGATTGAGTTTGTCCAATTTTGTGAAGGTAAACTTTATGCTCATATATTTTCAATCTTGCTTTTATTTATTTATACGGATGGAGCATGGAGGATGGACAAATTTCAATCTCAATTTTATAGCTCGATTTTTTTAGCTATGTGGGACAACGAAATCTGATTTTTAACTGATAAAACTCAGAGCTGGTTTCAGTTGCATGGTAATCAACAAAGTCGGCACTATTGTTCTTTATTACATACAGAGCTAATGCCGCCATCGCTGATCATCCTGTCCCACGTCATAATGGCGATGCCTTTACTCCGATCGGGACTCTTACCCGAAACGAATAAAATATTACAAGGATAGCCACCCTGTGATGATGGGAAAATAATAAAGATAAGGCACTATCCCAGGGGCCGGTAGAGGCCAGGTAAAAGCCAAGTGATGGAGGAAGAGGCGGCGCTAGATCCAGCGCCGGACAGTGGAATAAAGGCGGCGCGGCGGGAGGCGTTCGTCGGAGAGTTGAAAGAGGTGAATCGCATAGCTTTGCCTATGATTGTAGTGACAGTGTCACAATATCTGTTGCGGACTTCTCCAATGCTAATGCTAGGCCACCTCGGAGAGCTCCCACTGTCCAGCGCTTCCATCGCCACCTCTCTCTGCAATGTCACCGGCTTCAGCCTTCTAGTATGTATAAATGCTGGGCAATTCTTAGTTCGATCTGGTTATATAACAGCAGCCTAAGATCTTAATATAAACAAACGAAGTAGTTTATTAATTCATATTTTACTGGTGGAGAAAACACTATTAAGTTTCATTCAAGGAAGAATTCCCGAAATAGGAGTAAACACTATTAAGTTTCATTCAATTTCATATTTTACCGGTGGAGAAGACACTATTAAGTTTCATTTAATTTCATATTTTACCGGTGGAGAAAACACTATTAATATAAGACTTTAGTTTCATTCAAGGAAGAATTCCCGAAATAGGGGTAAAAACGTTTGAGAATTCTAAAATAGGGCTGTCATGTTTTTATTCCTTAATATGAGTAATTACCGCCAAGTTTGAAGATATTGTCATGTTTAAAGTCTGGTACTGCCATTTTGGGGAATAAAAACATGACAGTCATATTTTAGAATACACAAACGTTTTTACTCCTATTTAGGGAAATTTCCCGTTCATTCAACTCCATCCTAAAATCTTTAAAATGTAGGGATACGATTGGATTAACTCCTGTTTGACATCTGATCGTATCTATGTATCTTGTCATTTTTCTAAATAGTTTTGGCTTAACATGCTTATTCTAGAAATCTGCATGCTGTTTTCATAACAAGACATGTCTTTCCATCTTACGGGAGCTTTATAAGAGGAGTAGCTAAATGACTTCACAAATATGGTTTGTTGACCTAAGAGAAAACTCTTTTGGTTTTAGTTAAGCCCAGATTTATTCTTAACCATCTTATCGTTCTAACTTCTAACAGTATGGAATGTCTAGTGCGTTGGAGACGCTTTGTGGGCAGGCATATGGGGCGGGACAATATCGAAAACTAGGAACATTTACTTATGGTGCCATTCTGTGTCTATTCCTAGTTTGCATTCCAGTGGCTGCCCTATGGTTATTTACAGAGAAATTGTTGTTACTAACCGGTCAAGATCCTCCAATCGCAGCGGGAGCAGGTAAGTATGCCATATGGCTCATTCCTACTCTGTTCCCTTACGCGATTCTCCAGTCTTTGGTTCGGTATCTTCAGGCCCAGAGCTTGATCATTCCGATGCTCTATAGCGCTGTTGCGTCTCTATGCGTCCAGCTGCCACTTTGTTATGCTTTTATCTTCAAAATGAATTTGGGGAGTGCTGGAGCTGCATTATCAATTGGTCTTTCCTATTGGTTGAATGTGATTTTGATTTTGTTCTATGTGAAGAACTCGTCCACCTGTAAAAGAAGCCATGCCACTTTCTCTAGGGATGTATATCTGACTATGGGGGACTTCTTTCGGTTTGCTATCCCTTCTGCTGTAATGGTCTGGTAAATTTTACTCTCCGATGTTAATACTTCATACAAAATTTAGAAAAAACAATCTCCTACTAAACTGAAGTGACTATAAGCATTTTGAGTGTGCTAACAGACATTCTTAGGTAATGTAGAAAAGGACTTGGTATTTTGGGAAGTTTAGTGCGTCTATGCTATATAAAGTAATTGAATGTGTGACACTTCTCTTGAAAAGCTCTGGATTCTAATAGCTCAAGTGCTTGGTGTGCAATTGTGCAAATGGTTCTCAAGATCTTTATTCATAGTTATTGGAGGACCTCTGTAGATCCATATGATGTCTTCAAAATAGATTTCTCTACAAGAATATCCTTGGTAAATATTATCTAGATATGACATGTGATACCTCTGAAATTGTGAGATTATTTTAGGGAAATGCATCACTATTCAATACTAACTTATACTCCGTACTATGTAAGACATTAGGGAACTCCAGACTTCCAAGGGTTGCCATTGTATCAAAGCATGTGAAGCTAGAACAAAATTAGGTTATGATTCAAGAAGAGCATAAAAACTAGAAATGGGATAACTTATTGGTAGAAGAAAGTTTTCAGATTTGATTTTATTCTTTTCCATGTATTGCTAGTTTGGAGTGGTGGTCATTTGAGCTGATTGTATTGTTATCTGGAATCCTCCCAAATCCAAAACTTGAGACATCTGTTCTATCAATATGGTATGATGATTACACTCATGCATTTTCTATGCATTACTTTATATGTTAGTCTATATAAATTTGTATACTTATTTAATGTGAGATGATTTATCATTAACAGTGTTAGTTTCCTTTATATATACCTTTTCGAAACAGCCTCACAACCACTTCGGTTCACTACCACATTCCTTACTCTTTTGGCGCTGCTGCAAGGTTTGACCTCGGGCATGATCTATTCATATTTCATATAAAGACTTACAATTTACTACTAACGTTGTTAAATAGTCCTTTTTTGTTTTATATAGTGTTCGAGTTTCAAATGCTCTTGGAGGTGGAAAACCGGAGGCTGCAAGAGTTAGCCTCATAGCAGTCCTGGTTTTATCAGCCACAGAGGTTATCCTGGCGAGTTTAACCATTTTTTGCTGCCGTAGTGTGTGGGGGCATGTGTTTACTTACGAGCAAGAAGTGATCGGTTACGTGAAAAAAATGGTCCCTCTTCTGTGCCTCTCTATCCTCTTGGATGGGACACAAGCAGTACTGTCTGGGGTTGCTAGAGGGACTGGATGGCAAAGCATAGGGGCATATGTTAACCTTGGTTCGTATTACTTGGTTGGAGTTCCTGCCGCGCTTCTGCTTGGTTTTGTTTTGCACCTTAAAGGGCAGGGCCTGTGGGGTGGATTAGTTGCTGGAGCTTTGGTTCAGTGCACTGCCTTTTCTCTTATCACAGCCTTCACTGATTGGGGGAAACAGGTTTTGTGTTCACCCCTATTTTTTCTCTTTTGGCCTGATAATTATTATATCAACCTTGCTTCTTGTACACACTTTTTATGCACACTCTTATACACACTTCGGTGAAAGCTATTTTAGTCTGCTCACCAACATGTGTATAAGAGTGTGTACAAAAAAAGTGTCTGTACAGTTTTTTTCTTATTAGATTGTTTCTACCATTAGTACTTGACAACTAGTTTCTGGCGCACAAGTCATTCCCTTCAGTTTCCTAAGAAAGTAATGCAAAGATTATCATGCACGTCTAAATTTGGTGTCTCAAAAGTAGGCCATGTAGTACGAAAACTCTCGGGAAAGAGTATGTTTCCGATTCGGAAACTCTAGGAAACTCTTTGAAAACTCTCCAAATAAGCTTTTTTTGAGCAAAAGTCGACGTTTCCCATTTCCCGTTTCCCATTTCCTCATGATTTTCGTGTTTCGGTGCAACATAGGCTTTTCACCATTTTCTTGCATTTTGAAGTACAAAGAAGTACAATGCCTAACAAAAGTCTCATTATTGCCGGATTGATTCACACTTTTTGATAAATTTATTTTCTAGTAGGTCACTCATTCTCGGAATTTCTTGTCTTTAAACACAACTTGCTTAGCCATTGAGTTATAAGGTTAAATGAATGTGTTGTATGCTTCTTAAACAAACAGGCAATTGCAGCTAGACAAAGGCTGTTGGATAACAAAAGGATGCCTTCTCAGATTGAGTTTCTTGAGTAAAAGAGGGAGAAAGTTGAATTCGGGAAACAATGTAGCCACTTTGTTGAAGAATAAGCTATTTTTTTAATAACTGATTCAGCTGGACAGATGAGTAGATCAGCGAGCATTGCTGAACATAAATGCCTTCACTTCATCGTCTTGCTCCCGCACACTTGGTATAACTAAGTGTACAGTATAGTTTGGGATTTACATCCATTGCTAGACGTTACAAAGATTTATTATTTAATTATTACCACAACCTCATTGGACATTGTCAAATTTGTATTAGGTATGAAATAAGAAAAGTAAAATTGTATCATTGATAGTTATGAGGAGAGAGAGAAAAATCGCAATCTCAAATTATTTACCTGAAAAAGAAAGTGATAATTTTTTTTATGATAAACAAAAATTGACATAGTTCAATGAGACTCAAGGAATATCATTCAAATAATAATTACAAAGGTATAGTACAAAGTAGCATAGATGCATCAGGTGTGAAATTTTATACCAAGATAACATTTTAATCATTGTTGCACCACCATACACCAAAAAAATAATTGGATAGACACGAATTTAACACAACTTGATCGATAATTTAGTGCTAAAAACTAGCTCATGACAAAAAGTTATTATATTACTCCCTCCATCTCACTATCAGTGTCAATTTTTCTTTTTTCGTCTGTCTCATTAAATTTGTTTCATACTATATTTGGTAATATTTGTGTACTTCTAATTCATTCTTATTTTATTCACAATTTATCAATTCATTACCAACAACATAATTATACTATTTTTAAAAACTCACCACTCTCCTTTGTCCCAATCTTAGGGGGACAGAGGTAGTAATATTTAAAATATACAGAGTATTTTAATTAATAGTATACTAAAGTTACATTTTAGCAGTAAAATAAAGAGCTGAGAAAACTTTATTATGAAAAAACGGCTAAAATGCTTTTTTAGAGTGACAACAATTAATCTAATTAGAAAGTAACTTTGATCTTACTTATTTTGATTATTAGTGAATTCAACACGTGAAATAAAAAATTATGTGTTTGATAAAAAAGTTGGCTAATAATCTGAAAATCTGTGTTACCAAACATAATCTATTTTTTTCAAGATTTATTGAAGAAGGGAAAATTTCTAAAGTGAAAATATAATTTCTTTTTGACAAAAAAGATACTTCGTATAAATTCTTGGGAATCCGAACAGGAGTCTATGTGGTCACCAATTCATGATGAATATGCGTTCACGTTTTTCTTTCTCATATCAATGAACAATATATTAAAAATTCAAGCATTATTACATCGTCTTCTCTTATTATAATATATACTCCATATATGTAAACTACTCCGATCCGTATATATTAAGGGGTACCTTTTATAATTGGAATAACAATAAAATGTTTATTTAAGAGTCCTGTTTGGGATACCCCAATTTGTACCCCAATCTGTACACCGTCTGTATACACAGACAATTGGACAGAAAGTCCTGCCCTCTTTAAAACGAATTGCCTGCACAGACAATTCAAGGGTGGGTACAAAATGAGGTACATTTTGGGGTATTAGCATATAAGAGTATCATCATCGCGGAACTGCGGTAGAGTTGACAACGGGTCTTTCTAGCTTGACAACAATTTTTACAAATGCTGTTAGTCCTTGGAATTGCCTTGTGATCAGGGTATAGCATATAGGCTGCTTCAGGGTCGCATTCGTGTGTACAAATCCTCCCACCCCAATAGTTAACTCTCTCAGCATCAATCCCCAACAACAAAGTACCCGTCATATAATAATATAGATATACAAAAAAAACCACTATAATAATTACGGAGTATATGATAAAAACGATAGCACAACAAATAAAAACTACTCCCTCTGTCCCTAATAAAATTTCCATAGTAGAAATGAAACATGAATTAAGATAGTGAGTATGTTGTGAACCACAAATTTCTTATCAAAAAGGGAAAATGAAAGTTGAATTGAGATGGATGATGAAGGGAATTTGGGAGACAATTCAGGAACGGATGGAGTAAAGTATATATAAACACGCTATATGTATGCATATATTGTGATTATTATTGGTATGTACAAGAAAATACATAAAAAGGTTGTGGGTTTTACAATTTTAAAAAATTGTATGCAAAAGGAAGACACATGCATGTATGTAATTGGAACATGAAAGCACAAATGAGACATGAGGTGCATATATATTATGTTTCGAATTGCAAAATTCCAAACACGGGATATATAATACATGCATCGTTTATTTTAAAAGAAATTTGTGATTATAAAACTCAGAATGTATTGTATTCTAAATAGATTACTCATGATGTATATTATATTGGAGATTATGAAGATACTATTTTAATAAGACTTGAACTATAACAAGTACCAAATAGAATGAGGGAACTCAAGGAAGTGAGGAAGACAATTTTGTTGTGGGCATGAAGCCACATTCGTAATTTATAGATTATATAGGGATGAAGACAAGCTTATCATTGAGAGGGACTTGACGTATTATATTCCGTATATTATTGAGACGAGTTCAGAATAGCCTTTATAGATATTATACTCCGCGTCTCCGCATACGGTAGTGGGTTGCAACTTGCAAGTTCTTATTTATAGCCTATAATGAATTGCATGTTCCTAATTCGTATAATATTACTTTCCGGGAGCTATTTAGGAAGAAATTCAAGTTCTTTATACTAAAGATTTATTCAGAATTTCAGATCATAAACTAATTCAATTCATCTAATGAATCATAAACTAATTCATTTAATGAACAATGTGTGTGTATTTTACCAAAGAGAAATATCCTGAAATAGGAGTAATTTAAAACATTTTAAAACTTAAAATAAAAGTATTAAATTTGACTACCATTATTTACATTAGTTTATTTAAATATGACAATATTAATATCACAATTAAAAATATTTACAACCATGATAGTAAGGGAGTGTCACGGTTTAGGATTCTTAGAAAACTTTTAAGACTCGCGATTCCATCCTAAAAAAATCAACCTAATAGGAGTAGTAGTTCCGGATCTTAGATATTACGTGTTATCTATGAATTAGAAGGGCCAAACACTCCGTCAGCCTAGGCCAAATCGAGTTGGACAACTTCGAGGTGTATAAATGAGTCAAAATACCTCTTAACAAGCTAGTTAGCCACCCTTAATCATTGCTGCTAAAATGTTCCTTATTTAAAATATTTTTCTAAAAGTATAAAATTTATAAATTATATAAACACGTGATAAAATTGATCTTAATAAGATTAAAATATAGTCATCGATTTTGGGAAAATTGGATTGATTTTATTTTTTCCTTAAATAGGACTAAATTTTACATTTCTTTCTACCTTTAATATAATTACCTATATCTCTAACTCCCTAGCATAATCAGGGCAGTCTATTGGTGCGGCCATCCGGGAGGAGGGCCGACAGGACTGGCATTAGTTCGACGATGGTGTGCAGGTCTGATGTGTAAAATTTCTAGCGGTACTCAACGACGGCGGCGACAATGCTCCAAGCAAACCCCATAAGGGTATGTTTATGAAATTTTAAACATTAGGTCCCTTTTTGAAAAATGAATATGTTGTATTCCTGTAGTGCTCCCTAAACATATCTCAGCTTCCCAGTCCAAATTTTGAGAAAATTGTTATTAATTGGTCAACAATTTTTTTTGTTCCAACTAACCAAAACAAATTGCAGCGGTAAGGCTAATATGGGACTCAAAGATCCCACTCCTCACAAGTTATTCCCAAATTAGGGTACTTTTAAAAGTTACTCCGTATTTGTTAAACTATGATACTTTTAAATCTATTTTCCAAATTAGAGTCTTTTTCTATGTCATCGAATTTAGGTGTGTTTTACGTAATACTCTGTAAAAAATTAGTCACAAGCAGGAGTTGAACTCACGATCTTTCGTCTTTGTAGTAAGGTGAGAACACGTGGGCAACAATGTCATTTGTTACATGTTCAAAACATAGTCATGATTATGAGAAAAAAATACCTTAATTTGATAAATGAGTTTAAAAGTACCATAATTTGAAAAATAGAACTTCCTCTTCTCCAGAAAAATTACACATGACTGGAAAAAAAAATTAGATAGTTGAAGTAAATACAAATTAAATAAATAAGAATCAATACATATCTTCTCATGGTTAGGATATATGTAGTTTAATAAAATAATATAGGAAGCTATCACATCGGGTACAACTCCATGGAAGGCACCAACGACTTGTAAATCTCATATATCAGCCTGTTCTCGAACTCGGTTTTGGTGTACCGCGTCCTAGACGACCGCCGTCCACCGGACTTTTTTTCGGTCAACCTTTTCTGATCAGACGCATTCCCGCCCGCGAAATGAAGCATCATATTGATGTACGCATTCTTTAACTTGGACCATAGCCTAACTGGCGACAGAATCCTCCACCGGAGCCTCGGCATCGCCGCCACCCTTATCCCCCATGACGGCCGTTTGGAATAGCCAAGCCTCGTAACTGCGGCGTAGCTGCCCCTCCTCTCTCCGTCGCCAAAGCGCCGGTACTTTCTCCTCCGCCAAGCCCGCTTTATACGGCCGTTCGATTTGAATGGCTTCCAAATTGCTTCCATTTGTTGGTTTTATACGGGTAATGGCAATAGTAGAGCTTATTAGTGGGAGTGATTCATTTTCATGGAGGCTATATATCGAACTAATTATACAAGTTGAGGTTTTGACTTTTCGTGGTTTGTGTGATAAATTATTGTCGTCAAAGTCAACAAAGCCGGTCACCAATTCGCTTGTGGACTATGTCAACAACCACCAAGGTGTCACAATGATTCTCGAAGAAGAGATGATATTGATACGTTTGTAATTTCCGTGTGTTTATTTACGTTTTTAGTTAGTTTTGGTTGTTTAGTATTTCGGAAATTACACACTTTCGGTGTAATAGTTGAGTTTGTTAAATTCTTGTAAATTATTTAGATTAGGTTTATTCTGAGCTCAAACAGGTCTACCATCACTCAAAGGACAGTTGGTAAACCCCAAAAGTGGAAGGAAGGTGCAAAATCACAAGACAAAAAGGAAGGTCCCGATTTTGGTCTATACTCGGTCGAGTATTACCTATACTCGATCGAGTATCTTGTTGAAATTTCAAATCGAATCGGATCCGAAAACAAAGGAACATGCAGGGAAGATTTTACCACGATCGAGTGTCTATACCCGATCGGGTACACCGACATACTCGATCGGGTATAGCTATGAATTATACCCGAATATCGATCGAGTATGGATCGAATTCAAAGTTCTACACATACTCGATCGAGTATATGTATATACTCGATCGAGTACCCGACCTGCACCTCAAAAAAACCTATAAATACACCTCCTTTCCTTCACAATAAGGACCAATTCCTTTATACTCTTAAGCTCAGTTTAGAATAGCATTTCTCTATATTTCTTTTAGCATGTTTAGTCTCCAAATGAGGAGCTAAACTTCCATTTCTTGGTATTGCTCTTGAAGCTTGTTGATTATTAAAGTTGTGAGTTATTTTCTTAACTTCTTTCCTTGAATATTAATTCTTCCTTTAAATACTATTTCTATATCAATGTTGGGGAGTGTTGCTAAGATGACAATTAGTCAACATCTTGATATTGGTCTTAGTAATAGTTATTCCTTCCTCTATGTTAATATTGGAGAGTGTTACTAAGATGACAATTAGTTAACATCTTGATATTAACTTTAGTAGGATTCATTTTCTTTAATATTCTTCCTTGAGTATTAATTAATTCCTATTCATATTTCATATTAATATTTTGAACATTACTTAAAGGATCAACTAGTTTTGTTCCATATATTAATTATTACTAGAAACGATCAACGAACCGATGGTTAATCGTTGATAGTTTCACAAGTAAGTAACTTTGGTTTATTAATGCACGATCGTGGTTAATAAACTTAAGAGGGATTAATTTTTTTGGTTAAACCGAAACCGTTTTGTTGAGGTTATCAATCTCAATTGATTTCATCAAGGAGTTAAGAGATTAAATGCTACTATCAAGTCGGTATATGGCGTTGTTCTATACTTGACTAATAGCAAGGGTTATTAATGAACGGTCGTTGTTAATAGCTATCCTCGATGAATTGGATATACTCCTCGATTGAGTATTCGAGAGGAGATAAGTTATAGATATAACAATGATCGACTAAAATATATCAACAAGTGGAAATAGCAATGCCAAGCCCCTTTTATCTTTGAATTAAAACTCATATAACTCGTTCATCTTCGTGTTTAATTTTAATCAAATCACTAAATCAAAACCCCCCTTTATTTACCAGTTACATAAAAAGATAAATTATTCCTTTCCCTGTGGATACGAACTCTACTGCGCTATACTACGTATTAGTGCTAGTACTGAATATTATTTTGAGTGCACACACGACAAGTGCACGTCAGATATATATCATTAATACTAAAGACTTGCTTGTTAACATTATATTCAATGGGATGCATGTGTTGCTCAAATTGATGAAATGATGGCGGAAGGGATTGAATGGGCTGGATCAGTTGAATCATGTCTGAATTATTGTATTCAATTATTTTAATAGATTAAATAAAAAAATTAAACGAAAATAGCTAAAATATTCTTTTACAGTATTATCAGTCAAAAAGTGACTCCAAGCTTAGTTATAATTTTATTATTATTACAAAATTTATAGCGTGAAATAAAAAATTACATACTCCCTCCGTCCCAAATTATAAGATACTTTTCGGTTTACGATGTTTGACCGACGATAAAGAAAACGGATCCATGTGTGCACTCAAATTAATTTTAGAAAAAAAGAATGACATATTCAGATACTAGACCTGCACAAAACCGGCCCGGCCCGCCCGGCCCGCCCATATAAATGGGCGGGTTTGGACACACAGTTAAGCCCACCGGCCCGGCCCGGCCCGGGCCTGTTTAAATTATGGGCGGGCTTGGATTCTAATATAGGCCCGGCCCGTTAAATGTGTGCATACATATATATATATATATATATATATATATATATATATATATATATATATATATATTATAATTATATATATAAATTATATTTTATATATATACACAAAAAATTACTATCATTAAGGAAGGCCAACATGAAACCTTAGCCAAGCTACTGCTATTAGATCGGACCAATAAAGTAGTACCCCGTGTTAGTTAAAACTTGAACTGTTTTGTACTAGACACCTATCAAGTCTTTTAAGATACTTTTATGCTTTGACTATTCTCATTGCACATTCTGATTGTACTTTTATTTATTGTTTCCACATTGTGATTAAATTTTTAAATACTCATGTTAGTTCTAAATTTGAATGGTTTTTATTTTTCAGAATCGTGTGTACTTCATAAAAGTATTTTACAAACGTTTACGATTTTAAAAAAAAATAGAAAGAGGATAATTTTTCCGGGCCCGAAAGCCCGGCGGGCAGCCCGGCCCGCTCTTTTGGGCGGGCTTGGACATATGAGGAGGCCCGTTGTACCGGGCCGGGCCCGCCCACTACAAATGGGCAGATTTTTTAGAATAAGCCCGGCCCGAGCCCGGCCCGAACCCGCGTTTGTGCAGGTCTATCAGATACTACATTAAAACCGCTACAAAACATGCAAAAAATACTTCAAATTTCATAAAATTTTGACATATAAAATAAGAGATTAAGAGTGATTTGTGTTGACCAAGTGAATAGTAAAAACATGTTATAAAATGGGAGAGAGGGAGTACTTGGTATAAAAGATCTTAGGCCACGAGTTACAGTGCCGGCAATTCTGATAGTCTACGGTGGAAGCGAAACGTGGTACTATGTCTGTTCTATTGGTGGAAAATGTGTGCTGCACTAGCGGCAATTCTTTTAGTATAATGCTAAGCACATCATTTCTTTCTACAAGTGAAATCAAAGCCTAGGTCGTGAATTTGACTGCATGCTATGCAATTGAGACTTGAAGGTGCTAGAGAGATTATTGGGGCGCTGGCTGCAGTGCCTGAAATTTTGTCAACTTGGCAGTGAAATCAAAACATGGCGTGAAGCGCTATCAACAATTATTTTTAGTGGAGTAGAAAGCGCATCGATATGATCCTATAAAAGATGACTAATAAGGTTGATATAACGAAAATAGGAGTTACCAAACGGGCTCCAAATTGAATTACGTATTTAAGAAAATATAGTAGGCCTAAACCTGATTTTGGAATTTGGATTCTCGGATGATTACTATTTTTTAATTTTTATTATGTTACAAGTAATATTAGGTGCATGTCATACTAATGAATTTAGGCCAGTCTACTTGATTGCTTAAATATTTACTTTTGTATGTTTTAGGGTGCTTTGAATATATAAATAACAAGTAGAATTAGAAATCGGTTATTTGTTTTCAAAAGAAAATTGGTTATTTGGTATCATTTGGAGAAACGGTTACCCGTGCATAAACCGATTCCCCGTTGGGGCGGGTACGGTTCAAATAAAAATTACCCGAACGGGTAATGGGGCGGTTTTGGGGCAAACATTTATCCAACGGGGCGGTTTCGGTTTTATGTGTACCCGTCCCCGATCCGCCCCGTTGCCATCACTAATTAACTCTTTAAAACCAGAATATACACATCATAAAATACACTTCACTAGATTGTTTGGTAAGCTATACGGAGCATTAATTTTAAAGATGCCTGATTTGCAAGCCTAGGGAGTAATAGAATATGAATACTGATCGTTGAATGTATCTCTCATCTCTCTATTGATTATTATTGTTAAGAAACATGGGTAAAGATTAAAAGCAAAACAAGTACCAAAAACATTTAAACAGGTAAGCTACTTGCAGAGTAATAATTAGAAGACCAATGAGGAACATGATTTCTGTGTTGATCACAAGTCCTTAATGTATAACAATAATGGCTCTTTTAGTTCATAAGCACCAGTGTATGAAATTTAAGCCTTTAAGGGCTCTTTTGTTCATAAAATAAAAACCATCTCAAAATATAACGTTCAGAGGCCGCTGAGCAAGGACAGTTTTGCTTATGTAGCTAACAGCTGATATCTTCAAAAGATTTGTTTGATAAAATTGATTTCAGCAAATAACTGATAAACATCAATAGTTACTTGATTGTAAATACGAATATCGTTCTGAACCTAATCCAATAAGCATAATGAGAAGCATAATGAGCTAAGGGCAGCTACCAAAGAGGTTCTAAATTCAGAAATATAACATTTCTATGCACAAAAGTATACCATATTACATTAATTGGGTAACAAAAGCCAAGTATTATGCATCAACAGTACAGAACCTAAGAGGCAGGCAGTTAATAAGACTGTCAGATAGAACATGCCTTCATTGGTTTATCTTTTATCCTATTGCTGATTGACTGATATTTACCAAGAGGGAGAGCTAAAAACGAAATACAAAGATCAAACACAATTTCGATAAGCAATTATCGATACTAGGTTTAATTATGATATTAGAATTGATTTACGCTTACCCTGATAGCATGAGCCTAAACATAAAACAAGGACATTGAGCTTAGCTTAAGCATAAAGTGAGCTTGTATCTTTTCATAAAGAAAAGAAGAGAAAGCTTCCAACACTAATTAACTAGGCTGGGCAATAACTTCAAAAAAAATAGGACAAAAACGCAGATATGATAAAACTTTGGTGTTTATAGGGATCAAGCCTAGAACAAAAAGTTTACTTGAATAACAAAAGACAGAACTTACCAAATCACTCATTGGAAAGTATCCTGATTGGTTACAGTAATAGAAAAGGAATGAAACACATAACATAACGACCATTACCAAATCTAATCAATAGAAGAAGCTCCTGTAGCAGCAGCAACTTCCTCTACTGTGAATTTGCCCTTGTCCTTTCCAGCAGCCCTTCCTTTCGCCTTCCTGTCAAGCAACGCCTTGCGATCCTTGTCCAGCTTCAGTTTGCTGATGACGACCTTGGATGGGTGGATACCAACGTTGACGGTGGATCCGTTAACTTTCTCCCGGGTGATTCGCTCGATATGGATGACCCATTTCTTACGGTAAACCTGCACGACCTTGCCGTCACGGCCCTTGTATGTACCGCGAACCACCGTAACCTCATCGTCCTTCCGAACAGGGAGCGAACGGACATTGTACTTGGTTCGGAGATCCGTCGAGAGGGTTGCGCTCATCAGAACACGTCGGACGCTTGACGGCGCTGTGAAGTGCGCTTTCCGGCATTTCCGGCGGGAGCTGGATACACGCGGGTTGTACTTCATCTTCTTCGGTGTGGCTCTGCTCGGAGGCGCTGAAAGGCTCTGCTCGGGGTTTCAACGAAAAAAAACGCAGCTTAATCGATATATAAGGCGGCTTAGGGTTCTTGTGAATCGTACCCAACTCTACGGCCTAAATTTATCGCAAGGCCCTTTTGGTGGGCTTGATTTCTTTCACGGGCTTAGAATTCTAATGTTGCTTCTTGGCCCAGTATGACATGTCCATTTTTTACCTTGAGTAAATCAAACGGAGGCAGGCACATTGGCAGTTGAAAATTTCTGTTTACGTTTTATACACGCTCTTATACCCACCGTCTGTGAGAACGTCCACAGGCAAACAGGGGCGGCCCTGGGGAGAGGGCAGCAGGGGCGACGGCCCTAGGCCCATAAAAAGTGAAAGAAAATTAGGCACAATATTTATGTGTTAAACTAAGGTTGAGTATAGTAGGCCGAGTTTTTGGCCCTATCTGGTATTTTCATCCAGCTAGTTAGGCCGAGTAAGAAGAAAAGTTTTGGTGCACCGTGCACCGCCCTTAAATCTCCAATCCACGTTTTTACATACTATATTACTCCGTATTAGTTAATAGTTATGATCACTTTTTATTTTTTATCACCGAATTTAGATTTTTGGTTGTCGATTTACTTATTGATTATTGTCTTGTTGAATCGTGAAGTGTTGAAATTGTGAGTTTGTTCATATTGTTGTTTGATCCCGAATTTCTATATTTTAAATTTGTTGGAGTATTAACTGCGGAGTGTCGTTTTGTCAAATAGTGAAATTGCGAATGCGTTTTAGCTTTTTTGGTTAAAATTTGCTATGAAATTGAAATCTGATTTTGTGATAGTATAAAAACGTCTTCCACATTTTTTTTAATTTTAAAATGTAATAAAATTGGACGAATCTGGATGGAATATAGTAAAAAAGAGAAAAAGAGTACAGAAAAAAACTTACAATTTTTTTTTTAATTAGGACTATTATAGATCACTCGCCCCTAGGCCTTGAAATCGCCAGGACCGGCCTTGCAGGGAAAAAAGCTTTCTCATAGACGACGTGTATAAGAACATTCACAGTAGATATAAGTAGAAAAATGTTGGCCGTTACCGTAAACAATTGACTCGTAGTATTCGTAAAACTACACTCCCACATAACTCTTATTCATGTTAGAGGAAGCCGTGATTTTCACTATTATTATGAAAATCTTTTGGGACTAAAATTTGGATGTTGTATTCAACGCAAAACACATGGTACAATGTAGGGAGTATTACATATAGTTTAGATGGCAAGAAGGGGCAAATACTGCATATAACCATGGTACAATGTAGGGAGTATTACATATAGTTTAGATTAGAGGTGTCCATTGGTTTGATGGTTTCGCTTTTATCTGATCGATTTTTAATTTTTAGGTTTCAAAAAAAAGCTAAATCGAGAATTGAGCAATACCGTTTGAGTTGATTTCGGTTTGGCTAATTTCAATCAGACCACTAAAGGTTGGGTCCTTTTTGTTAGTTTCAATCTCTTTCTTCACAACTAGTGCTCTACCGTCTACAGTATATGTGGGCTGTGGGCATGTGGCGTGTGTAGGGTGTTTGCAAGTTTGGTTGATTTCGATTTATCACTTCAATGTTTAACACTTCAATTTTAGAAATGTAAAACCAAAACCAGTTTTAAACTTTGTTGGTTTGATTGACTTCTGTTTAGTTTGATTTGATTTTAACGAGATAGATTTTAGTTAATGATTTTTGGAATGTCCATATTTTTGTTCGAACACTAAAAGGGTGTTCGAATCTGATTCTTAAAACTGCTTCTGCTTCTTCAGGGAGCAGAAGAAAAATCTGGAGTGTTTGCGTGAAAATGCAGAAGTGATTCTGATACACAAATTTACTCCTAGAATCAGTTTTTTTAGAAGTTGGAGTGACCAGCTCCTGAAAACTGATTCTGATTCTACTTTTGCTTTAAAAAAGAAGCAGAATCAGTTCCAAACACCCCCTAACTAAATACATCAATACATGTACCATTGTATTGTATATATCACAAATTCTTCTTATAAACAAAATTTGAACATATTTCACACACATTTATACATAATTGTCGGTGCACACAGACAATATGGATGAGCTACCTGTGTACTTAAGTAATAAGGAGTTGTACACATTGTCTATGTGCACAAACAATTGCATACAAGGTGTACAAAATGTGTACAAATTTCGAATACAAATAGCATTTTTCTGGTATATATATAATGATATAGTGCTTCGTATAAATAAGAAGGTAGTGTAAGTGTGTAACAGTTTTAAAATATGTACTGCATGAGGAGAAACAGTGGAGAAAATAATGAAGCAAAACTGGGATTGTGTTTCGAACTAAAAATAGTTTGCTTCAACCCCACCAGTCATTACTCATTACCTAATACCTACTGTACTTCGTAAGAACAGATATATACTCCGCTACTATATATATACAAAGACCCATATTACACATCCACATGCCACTCTTCTGGTTTCAACTGATCAAGTAGTCAAGAACACCTACTTCCGCCACTCCCTAACTCAAAATATTAAGGGCCAATCATTCAGCTAAAGCAATCCCCGTGAATGTATCAGGATGACCTCTTTCACCTTCTTGGTTTTCAGCTCGAACTTCAGCTGTCCCTCCTCCGCCATTGTTGGACTCCTCCAGTGCCCGAAAATATGCATATGTTGCCCAACCTACAAGAACAACAGTGAACAAACAGAAATACAAATTTGAAGCCCAATCACAACTAAGACGGGGACACAGGGTGACAAGGACTACTAGTAATGGTAAATTTCCCAATTCTCTTAAATAATCTATTCACCATAATTTCAAGCTTTAATAATGAGGTTTCTGGGTAACATACGGCTTACAGTGATATGCTGTTTGATCTTCAGCAAATGCTAGCTTAATGTAATCGCAGTTTCCCTCACTTGTTGAGTTGTTGAGGTAATATTAAATCTGAGACAGAGTTTGTCTTGGATAGTAGGACTTCGTAAATTTAGTCCATGTGGCTCTTAAAGTCAAATACGGGGTATACGATTATCTATACCATTAAGACCACTGCTAGACATTTGAGGGGCATTCTGGGCATTAAGCCACTAATTTTTAAGGGTGATTTTAATGAGGATGACTTATTCTTCTGAAACCATTACAATTGAGTGAGTAAATTCACCATGACTAAAAGAACATCTCAGATCACATATTGTCAAACAATCAGGACTAAAAGCGCAATTTCTCCAAAACAAATATTATCCATAGTTAGATTATGGTCCTTTTTTATTATTAAATGTCAATAAGTAAACAAATAAAGACTTGAGGCAACAATTGTGTAAACTACAGTAATATAGGAATAAAAACAACGCCACACCTTGGACATGATGTGGAGGTGGAAAGAACTGTAAGTAGCACAATGTGGCAACTGTTAGCCCTACAAAACAGAAAAATTGTACACTTAATCTAGTAGAAGTTATTTGGAACCATATTGAAATATAAGAAAATTAGATTTTAAACAGGGAACAAACCAAGTAAACCACCAGCAAACACATCCTGCCAGTGGTGCCTATAGTCATCCACTCTAGAAATCCCAACTAAGGAAGCAGCTATCAGAGGAACCCATATAACACACAGTTTTGCAACATGCCCCTGGCTGTCAAACACTTTTACCTTTCCAGCTAAATATAGTGACAGAAAGCCAAGACCCGCAAAAGACCCTAGCAAACCGTTTTATAATTAGTTTAACAGCAAAAAAATATCCATCAAAACACAAACTCATATTATGAAAATACACAAAAGTAGACATTGCTACTTCGTTAAATCCTTCAGGGTGAATTACATCTACCTCAGTCAAGGTTGGCTCAAATTACGTTATGACCCTTGAGGTTTCTGGAAATTAGAGACAAACCCCTCTTACTAGTCAAATTTTGGAGATGATAGGATATAACTATATTGGTACAGAAAGAGTTTTCCCAGACCAAATTACCCTCAACACCTATTTCAAAGATTCTGTTTTAGAAAAAGATCTAAACAGTTAAGTCGATAACATGCATTTAAAACACCAAATTCAATCTAAAAATGGACAGCTCTTGTGAGTATCTCATATGTAACTGGACAGGGGGGCTTATTTGTATTTATAAGAAAGTCTCAAAGGACTTCGGTTGTTTCACACAAAAGTTAGTGGAGGTATATGTAATTAACTGAATATTTTATTACAGCACTTACAAGAGGTGTGCCCACTTGGAAAACTCTTATGCCCATCCTTTAAGACATTTTTAAGTCCACTGCAGATGACATTTCCCCATTTATCATAAGTCTGTAATGCATTTGAAATTAAGTAGATCCTATTAGTCAGTCTAAAAGCAGTGGAAGCAATGAAAATAATAGGACTGCTAAAAGAAAAATCACATAGCAATCTTACATCTTTCCCATCTGGAAAACACCGCCAAAAGAAGTCTGGTCTAGGTCTACCAACTGCATCTTTGATAGCATCTGTGATAACTCCTGTCACTAGAACAGAAAATAAAAGCCCTGCAAGTAAAGAAGAACAAAGGTTATTTGCATCTATCTCCCCCGATATTTGGTAAATCAACCAAATGACCATCAAAGTTTCTGAAAGAATCCCTCACACGGTACTATTTTTACCATATGGCAGAAGAGAATAAAAGAACATACCCGTATTCAATTATTTTCTAAATAGTGTTTGGCAAAATATTTAAGGGAAAAGTAGTAGGGGTAGTGAATAGTGTAGAAAAAGTAGGAGAGAGAGAGGAAAATATGATAAGAGAATATGAAGAGTAGAAAAAGTGAGTAATTGAGTATTGTTTAAGGGAACTTACCAAAAAGGGAAAGTGTAGCAAACAAAAAAATATTCCCAAAAAGAAAAGTGTAACTAACAAAAGAATACGGAGGGAGTACTTTTTCCTGGGCTATATTACTCTACGATATTTGTCCAAAAACTTTGGGAGAAAGCTATTAATGTTTTAACTGATATGTACTCTCCGCATATATAGATGTTCTTCCTCTTCTAGTTTTGCATCCATTTTAGGAGTTTAGGCCATTGCATGCTGTGAGAGTGAGAAAATGGTAAAAGCTGGAAAAGGCAGAACAGTTAACGGTAAATTTTACTAACAATGGAAATGAGAAGATCTTTTGGAGACGGATAAAAAAGGCAACAACAGAGTGAGTATTAAACAAAGGCAAGGCCAAATTGAATATAAAAGACGCACAAATGCACAGTTCTTGTTAGTACCATTGAATTCAATAATCTTCTAATGTTAAAGAGGGTCAATAGCGGAAAGCCTAATTGATCAAGGGACTTGTAAGGTATTCATAAACATTGAGGGTGAATTGCCAATTTGACCAAATCTCAAAGAGGTAGGTAGATGTTATTACTAATTAAACCAATGAAAACCCAACAAAGGATATAATAGAGATTTCACAAAAAACCAAGCATACGACAGATTCAGTTTTACCGAGTATTGCGTGGTGAAGATCAAAGACGTCCCTTCGACGAAAATAGAATCCCAGGAAGATTGATATTGGCATCAAAACAGAATACACCTGTACCAATCAATTGAGCAACTTAATAAATGCTTAAAACAAAACAGATGCATATTTACAGGAATTATGTATTGTTATTCACTAGTAATAGAGAAACATACAGGTACTGCCCAGAATGGAACGGTGTTGTTCTTGAAAGGGTACTTCAGATCAGCCATCATATCTTTCCCAACAAAACGGTAAAAGGGGTTAATAACATTCAGAATAACTATTGCCACAGCAAGAAGGAAGAGAATCAGCCAGTCATGCATGTGTGTCCTCGCCACAGAAACTCCATGAGACCTAACAGTATGTGATCCCAGCTGGACTTCCCTCATTTCTCTCTGCAATTACAGTTTATTTGTTGTGGGTAATTTGACTTCAGAATAAGCCACAAAAAATTTACTATGTAGTATGTACAAAGTCTTAACATGTAGATCTGACAATTTAATGTGAGTTATAGTGCGTAGGATAAGTAATTCTACAGGAATAAGAATGATAAAGCTAGTCAAACTACAAAATGAACTGGCAACAAAGAATTTACTAATACACATTTAAAGAAGAAGAAGACGAAGAAGAAAGCATGATCAAATCTCAATCCTTTTTAGTACAAAACTTAAGCCTATAGGTAAAATTTCTAAGGGGTGGAACTACCATCACTCATCAGAGTAGTAAAATACCACACAAAGGCATAGAGCTTTTTAACACATCATCCGCATTGAAGCACATCAAACAATCTTAAGTTCATACTTCAGAAGGGAAAATGTAATTTAACTAATCAAAAGCAAACAAGAATAACTACACTCGTAGCCATGACGCAACCATTATACCTTCTTAATTCTGTGTCCTATCAATGGCAAATAAGGGTGAAAAAACGAATTGCTACAACCATCAGAAGTCTCCAACCTTTGATTTATCAACCTCTGCTAAAACCCCAATATATCAATCTTAATATACAATGAATAATTATTACCATCCCGATGTACTTCAGTACTTATCATAAAATTTTGAACATCCAACAAGATTGAGAGGCTAGGGTTGTAACTTGTAAGACTGCAAGCCATTGAATTTGGCACTAAAAGAACAAGAGATGTTACAACAGTTAAATAAACTAAATACCCTGCACTGAATCTCTTCACACAATTACAGGGTAAAAGCCCTCAAGTGTTTCAAACTCATAAAAACTGCAGAAAATGTCTATTAAGAGAAGCGCGTATATAAAGGTTAGTATGCATGAATAAGTGAACTCCTCCACACCTCAGCCAGGGGAACCCGTCTAAAATTCTCAAGGAAAGGGACGGATCTCAAATTCCACCACGTCATTGATGAAACCGAAGTCAAGAAAACAAAGGCCACAGATAATCGACGAACTGAGATTACAGAGACAAATCCAGACTCCAGAACACTAAAAAAAGTATATATACGTCAAAAGTGAAAGCATTCTCTAAGCAATTATGAAGTCCCACATGCCAGCACAAAACGTCAAATCAGTTATCGGCTACACATAAATATGGCCTTTAATCCAAGGAATAAAATAGCAATAAAAGCAGAGCTTTGCGTAAAAAGACGTACGCGTACGGCCTTACTCCTTTTAGTCCTTCAAAAATGCGAAAGAAACGTAAAACCGACCTTCTTTATCACCTCCTATTGCTAATGTTTTCTTTTTTTACCAGAAACTGAGCCTATTACGAGACTTAAAACGAAGGCTCTAAAATGCTTCAAGAGTTTGAGCGAAATCCGTTGTGGCGGTGAGTGAAAACTGAAAAGGGGAACTTAAAGTCTATGTGAATCTTTCCGTTCTAATCGCTTTTTGAAATGCTGACTTATTAGCTTGACTTTCTTCTATAGGATAGGATGTAGTTTGGACATGATTACTTTGAATATGATGGATCAATGATAGAATATTTGATACGTATTGTGTTTTTTTGATATAATAATAGAAATAATTACACAAAAATATGATTGAAATAAAAAATCTTCTACAAATGTGACTAATGACTACAGTAGTTATTACTACTCCGTCACGCTGGAAGATTCTCATAGCAAAACGGCACGGTTATTTAGGTGATAATTAAATAAAGTATTTCGAGTATATTTTGAGAAATAATTTTAATAGGTATATATTATAAATTTATAATGTGTTAGTATTGATAACTATGATGTTATAAATGTATTATTTTTAATATTTAGTGACGAATTTGTCACTTAAGATTGTTAATTGTTTTCTAAAATGGAAATGAGAACCTTCTAACGGGACGTCCAAAAAAAGAAAGTGAGAACCTTCTAACGGGACGGATGAAGTATTACCCAATAAATTATATTCAATTTTTAAATGTAAGTTACCATAACGCTTCATTATAGTAACTACTACATCCGTCCCATATTGGTTGACCACTTTCAATTTGGCACGATTATTAATAAAGTGGTTGAACAGTAAAAGTTGTGGTTGAGATTTGAGTAGAATAAGAAGAAATGATAATGACCACATATTTCTTTCCAAACAAGGAAACAAGACATTCATTTTGGGACAACCCAAAAAGGAAAGTGGGACAACCAAAACGGGACGGAGGGAGTATTAATAAACAAATTCTATCTTAGTTTTTTTTTTTAACCCATGATAATAATGTGGAAGTAATATGTGGGGTTTATTTGTATAAATGAGATGATTTTAAAAAGAACATTTCTCATGTATAAATGGGGTGATATATTTTGAAGGTTGTGGCCACAAATTATAAGTACTCTAGAAGAAGTCATGAAGCATTATACTACTTTCTTTTATAAATTCTTACAACTTTTACATATGCTAGTAATCCTACTTTGTATTTATTGATGTATAGAAAAATTATATTTCCAACAATACCATTAAATTTCTTTCATTTTAAAATTTTCAGGAAATTTTTAATTGTATACAACATAATATTTGCTAATAAAAATTAAATATATCTATAATCAAAATGCACCACATATTATGTACGCGCAAGACAATTCCCATACATTTTCCCAATTATTGTAAAGTGACTATACATCACTACTACTTATAAATTATAATGTACACTAAGACAATTCCTACACATTTTCCGAATCATTGTAAAGTGACTATACATCACTACTTCAAAGAACAACAAATCAATTGGAGGGCTTGTTTGTAACTAAAATCACCTGTCATGGTTAACTTGGAGGGCTTCCTTGTGATTTTAAAGAAAAAAACTAATCATTGAGTATTGCATTTCTTTTTGTTAAGAAAGCTACTTCCTCCGTCCCACTAGAAGGTTCTCACTTTCCCTTTTTAAATGTCCCATGTAAAGGTTTTCATTTCCTTTTTAGGAAACAATTAACAATCTTAAGTGACAAATTAATCATTAAATATTAAAAATAATATATTTATAACATCACAATTATCAATACTAACTATATTATAATATATACCTATTAAAATTATTTCTCAAAATATACTCGAAGTACCCTATTTAATTATTGTCTAAATAATCGTTTCGTTTTGCTATGGGAACCTTCCAACGAGACGGAGGTAGTAATTAATAAGCAACACTGTATCCAGGGTTTGGTCAGGGTTGAGAGTTTCTCTCCCTCACAGAGATGTTTGCCCATGTAGGGTTTACCGCCGCATAAGCGTGCAGTCACTTCTTTCCTTTGCCATGGGGATGAAGATGCTTGTTTCTCGATCAACGCCTAAGGTGCAACGGTGATCAGGCAAAACTCCCCATACGCACATCGTCATATGCTTTGACCTTCGATCTTTTGGTCCTGGAGGAAGAAGATGAAGTGTTGATGATCTGCCTCCTTCCGAGCTGTTGCCATGGAATGAACGAGCGGCTAGGGTTTGCTTTAGCTTTATTTCAAATTTTATTTTTATTTTGATACACTGTATACCTTATTTTCGTATTGTTTGTGTTAGTGGGAGTACTAAGTGATCTAGTTTATCTATGATCGGAAGTATAGAAATCTCTATAGGCTTTAATTGCTTCGAAGTTCCAGCATGGTCAGCGAAAAGTTTCGCTCAATTTTGGGTGAACTTTTTTATTCCTGATCAGGGACTGAGGGGACCTTTTGGCTATTATGAGTCTAGTGAACCGGTAAAGAGTACGGTGACCTTAAAGTTCGAAAAGAACTCTTTATTCCTATTTGATGGTCAACAATTCGCACGGCTTTTTTGGAGGTGGTTATCTAAAAGTCTGATCGTAGGATGTTTCTTGAGTTTAGATGGAGTTTTTTAGAAGATTAGTGGTGGATTTTAAGCTATTGACTGGTTGTAACTCTTGATTCGTTTGACATTTTAATATAAGTTTCTTTCCCTTTCAAAAAAAAAAGCTAATTAATCAAAAGGAACTATGAGTAAATAAAATTATGGGAAATGGGTCAAATAAGCCCACGTACTAATAAAAAAAGGTCAAATAAGCCCCTATATAGGAGGTTCGGTTTGGCCGTCTCCATTTGGGGAAGTTCCCGGTGGAATTCTTTGATAAAAATTTTGAGCATCTTATTAATCAAGTCTAGTTTACTCATACCAAAGTTCAGCTAAAACTTCAATGGAGAAGGCATTCAAATGAATTCTCTAAGATAACTTCGCAGTTATCTTCAAGAATTCATTTGAGTGCCTTCTCGATTGAAGTTTTAATTGAAATTTGATATAAGTAAACTAGACTTTATGAATAAGATGCTATAAAAATCATCAAAAGATTCCACCGGGAACCGCCACAGATCAAATGATGACGACCGGACAGAGCCTCCTGCCTATATAAGGGCTTATTTGACCTTTTTTGTTAGTACGTGGGCTTATTTTCTCCTTTTCTCATAAAATTATTAAAAAATACTATTTTTTTTTTAAAAAAATGTAGTTGTAACTAACCTTTCAAGTACTTTTTAATTTCAATAAAATTTTGTTAGTTATGTTGACTTTTACGAGTTTGGGTACCATCGTGCTACAGAAAAGTTGTGCAAAGTTGCCGAGTTTGATGGTTCTGAACATGCCTACAATTGTCTAGTCTTGACAGAAAAAGGTGACGTGTTTATGGTTCGTCCCCTTCCTGAACAACCACCATGAAGTGAATAAGTGGCTAGGATTTGGACAATTGTAAACCCTATGTTTATTTTTAGTTTAAGCTTTATATTTCGGTTAGACTTTTGACCTTGTTTTTTTACAGTGTAGGGATATATAAGACCGTTATACAATAACCGCCTTTTTGATAGCCTTTTTCATGTCATGTTGCTTTCTCAGCATTGAGATGTATAAGGTTGTTATTTATCTTGAAGCGTTCCTATGTTCAACGAAAAGTTTAACTCGGATTCGGGTGAACTTTCTTATACATGTGATAAAGGAATGAGATGACTTTTCGAGTGATATGAGTTTAGTGAAGTAAAGAAGAGTATGATGACTTTAAGAGGCTGTATAAACTCTATGTTATCCATTTTGCTGACCGGTCGAATTAATAGAGTTTGATGATTTCCTTTCTAAAAACATATTTAACCCTTTTAGAATGGGTGTGCCATATTGCCAAAAGCTAAGAAAAAAGCAATAGCAAGGAAATTATTGAGAGTATCTAATAAACAATATTAATAACAAAAATGTTTATTACTCTCTAAAACGCTTAAAACACTGCGGAGGCGTTTACTTCACTGCTAAAGTCACAGTTAGGTTAGTAAGACAGGTGAAGTAAACACGCACACAGTTTAAAAAGCCGTTTACTAACCGAAAGAGGTGCTTAAAGTGCCGCTTATTAAGCATACCACCCCCATGTATTAATTAAGCGGCACTTTAAGCTTTTTCAGTTTCCAAATTTACCCCTTGCCCTTAACCTATTGTTATCCCTGCCCCACCTCGACCCCAACCCCACCTACCCCGACCCCACCCTACTCTTAACCCACCCCACCCCACCTACCCTACCCCACCCCGACCCTACCCTACCTAACCGACCCCCACCCTACCCTTACCTACCCCGACCCTACCCCTACCTAACCGACCCCCCCTACCACTACCCCGACCCCACCCTACCCCTACCTTACCTGTCCGACCCCCACCCTACACGTACCCCACCCCTACCCTACACCATTACCAGACACCCCCTACCCTACCTAACCGACCCCCACCCTACCCTTACCCCGACCCCACCCCTACCCTTACCCCACCTACCCTACCCCTACCCGACCCCACCTTACCCCTACCCCTACCCTGACCCAACCCAACCCTACCCCATCCTACCCCTACCCGACCCCACCCTACCACTACCCTACCTACCCCACCCCTTACCCACATACCCGACCCCACCCTACCCTATCCGACCCTACCCCTACCCTACCCCCTACCCCGCCTCAACCCCCACCCTACCTACCCGAACCCACCCTACCACTACCCTACCTACCCAACCCCACCCCCACCCTACCCTACCTACCCGACCCACCCTACCACTACCTGACCTAAATCACCCCACCTACCCCACCCCACCCTATACCCCTTACCCCACCCCTTACCCCACTATACCTAGGGTGGTGGGGTCAGGGTGGGGCCGATGTGATAGAGGCGCTAGGGGCAGGGTAGGTGTGGTGGGGTAGGGGGTGGTTCGGGTAGGGTAGGGGTAGGGGCGGGGTTGGGGTAAGGTAGGGTAAGGTGGGGCCGGGGTGGGGTCGATGTGGTAAGGGCCTATGGGGGTAGGGGCCTATGGGGTCGGGGGTAGGGTTGCGGTAGGGTAGGGACAGGTTAGGGTAGGGTAGGGTAGGTAGGGTCAGGTAGGTAGGGTAGGGGTAGGGGGTAGGGGTGGGTAAGGGGTTAGGGGTATGGGTACACATATTATATTATATACTTGTGTTCATGAATGTTTGTGTGTATATATATGTATAGGGTTATTTTGGACATTTTAATGTTAAGCGGTGTTTTAAAACCGTTTGAAGTAAACACGGTCTTACAACATTGTTTATTTTATGCGCCGCTTATTAACACGGGTCTTAATAAGCACCGTTTAATAACCCGTGAAGTAAACATGTCCTACATCTTTGAATCTTTTGATCAATAAAATTAAATATTGACTTATCATATATTTTAATACTCCGTATGAAATATATTTTTTTGCTAAAAATATTTCTATAAAAGGTATAAGTGTATAACACATGAAATTTACCACCATTAATTTGAAAAGTATAAATTAACAAAGTTTTAAAGACAGAAGGAATACAATTAAAGGTATTGAAATAACTAAAAGTAACATAGTTAACTTTGTTTCATAACTAAATCGATTAGCCCGCACATGCAGCTCAATTGAGTGTGGTGAGAAAGTTGAAAGAATAAACCAGGATCGAAACTCACAGCGGTCGTGTAATTCGTGTTGAGGTTACAACTCCCGTGTGATTTACGATTTCTCATATCTCATTGGAATGAGGAATGGAGAGCCCTAGAGTTGGGGATTCAACCATTTGGAGGAATAACTAAATCGATTAACCTAAAGATGTAAAGCAAAAGAAAACAAAGAATGGAGTGTGTCTAGAGCTGCTATATGCAACTTTTAGCAAATAAAAGATCTATTTGGAATCGCTATTTTTAAGACATACTCATTTTGGCTACTCAACTAGCTTAGTTGAAATTGGTCAAATTAAACCAACCAAAAAATTGCCCATAACTCATAAGCCATTTTACCACCAAACAAAGCCACACATACTCCAATGGCTCATAACTCATAAGCCATTTTACCTCCCAAGCTAGAACTCTTTCCAGTCAAAAAACATGGCAACCGCTAGCAAGTATCCTCAATATCCCAGGAAGAAGCTGATATCTAAGTGTTGATTTTCTTGGCATGGAGTCTTTTCTCTAAAAGAAGCCTATAATCTGCCTTAAGCTCTCTGGCCTCCCTCTCCAGCATTTCAGTTCTCATCAAGATTTCCTTCTCGCTTTCTTTCAAAGCTCTGACCCAAGCTTCAGCTGCTGCAACTTTCTTGTCTGCAATCTCTTCTGCCATAGCCGCATTCCCCATCAAGTATTCAAATTCAAATCTCGAGATTACCACCTTGGAGCTTTTCATGGAAGCTCTTTCCATCACTGTCTTTCCCACAACTGCTCTTAGATTCTCCAGTGCACTCCCTTCTGATGACTTCACCTTCTTAAGCTCTTTCACAGCAGCCTGTAGCTTCTCCTTAGCCAGACTTGTCTCCAAATCCATTTCCTTGATTTCTTCTTTAATCTTTGCAGTTTCTTCCATGGCAGCAGCTCTTTCTTTCTGGGCAGTCCCGGCTGCTTCCTCTGCCTGCTTAAGAGTGAGGGAAAGATTTGAGGAGAGGGAGTTGACTTTTTCTTGATTTAAAGATGTGGCTTCCAGCTTGGCGTTTGCTTGTAGAAGCTTGGAGTTGAGTTTCTGGATGATTAAGTCAGACTTCTGTTGTTTCTTCTTTGACAGAGCTTTCTCATAGGAGACATGCTTTAACTCACCTCTTATATCGTCCAGAGAAGCCATGCATTTGAAGCCTTCTTCTTTAAGGGAAGATAATACCCTCTTTGCTGCTTCTAGTTCTTTGGCCATAGATGGTGTTTCCATTATTTCATCCATAATCTGATAGCAAAAAAAATCAGAAGTAGAGACCTTCAACTAGGGAAGGTGCGGGTTAAATGTGAGAAGGCCAGGGCAGGACAGGGAGGAAGAAAAGACATGAATAGTTGGCATGCATGAACTTAATAGCTTCTGATCTGAATGTGATGTTGCTGACACTAATTAAGGCCGTACCTGTGTGGGACGTTTTTTGGGGAGTTGAGTTCAATGCTAGGCCAAGAAATACTCCAAGATGAGGATCTCGTTGAATTTGGTGGGGGTGAATGGCCCACAAATCAGTAATAATACTGCTAGGTTGTCTATATAGAACCAACTTGTTTTGCATTCTCTGTAGTCTGCATTGAAATCATGGACCACCTTGCAGCTTCAAACATAAGGAAGATTTACTGCTAACAGCCAAATGGGCCCTTGACGGATTTTATTGAAATTTATGAAGTTTTTGTTGATTGATTGTATTGGGTGGTTCTACTGATTTGTAAAATAATACTCCGTAATAATTTAAAATACATTTTATTAATAAAATAAAGAAAAATTTATATGAAAAAATAGTTAAAATGGTCCTCTACAGTAGCTTCAGTCAATACAGCCAGTTAGTAACTGAAATCTTACTTTTTGTTATTATTACATAAATCAACTCGTAAAACCAAAAGTTACGTGTTTGATGAAAAAAATGGATTATAAGCCTCAAAAGTAAAAAATCATGGCTACCAAACAGACACTTACATAGTTTCTTAATTTTCAATTGTGCCCGTTATTAGTCCTTAACTATACTGATTTACAGATCGATTTGATCTTGGAATTATAAAGTTTTTCTATTTAAAAAACTTTGCCATGAGAAAGTACACTTTCCACCAAATGTCTTACTAGAAAAATCGTTGGAAAAAATCATTGCCGAGTAATAACAATAAAAGGAAAAAATGACCAAATAAGGGTGCGTTCACTAACGTTTCTGTTTTTCTGTTTCTGTTTTTTTTCTTAGCAAAAAGAAAACAGAAACACGTTTGGTAAAAAGTTGTTTTTGTTTCTAAAATCATAATCTTTGTAAGTGTTTTTGGAAAACGAAAACATGATTCTGAAATCCACAAAACATAGTTTATATAAATTTGTTATCATTTATCTTCAATATATCCAACTAACGGGACACCACCGGGACACAACTGGCCACCACCGGACCACCACGGCCCACCACCGGACCACCACCGGCCACCATCAGACCACCACCGGCCACCACCGGCCACCACCGGACCACTACCGGACCACCTTCGGACACCACCGGGCCACCACCAGCCACCACCGTACCACCAACGGACCACCACCAGCCACCACCGGACCACCACCGGACCACAACCGGACCACCACCGGCCACCACCGGACCACCATTGGTCACCACCGGACCACCATCGGCCACCACCGGACCACCACCGGGCCACCACCGGACCACCACCGGCCACCACCGGACCACCACCAGACCACCACCGGCCACCACCGGCCACCACCGGACCACCATCAGACCACTCCTGAGACCATCATCGGACTATCATGGACTACGCAAATAATTACTCCCTCCGTCCCAATATAAAAGGCACATTTGCGTTTGGGGAGTTTTTAAGGGTGAACACTGTTTGAACACTGTTTGACACCGTTTAGACACTGTTTGGCACTGTTTGGACACTGTTTGGCACTTTTGGCACTGTTTTACACTGTTTTGTTTGCCAAAAAGGGAAATGTGCCTTTTATATTGGGACGGACCGAAAAGGAAAGTGTGCCTTTTATATTGGGACGGAGGGAGTATTTGTTTCTTGGAATGACAAAACTGAAATGAATTAGCACTAAAACAAAACAATTTCAAAAAACTGAGAATAGAAAACTTAAAACAGTTTTTTGTTTTTAAAAAACAAAAAACTCAAAACTATACCGAACGAGCCCTAACGGACTCATTCATGATCTCGAATGAGGTTGTTTTTACTTGTTTTCAGTCTCAGATCAGATTAAATTTAAACAGACCAGACTTAAAGTTATAAAATACACAGAGACATTTATCAGATCTGACCATTTCAGACCAAATGAAACCAGATCGGACCAGACCAGCAAATTACAGTCCAAGCAAAAACATCCTAAAATATCTTACTTGTTTTAATCATACCTCGTTTATAATCCAAAACAAATGAATCAAGAAAAGATTATAAGATTTAATTACAGATAAATAATTCATTTGAAAAAGCTTATGGGAGATTGTGAATTTATCAAAGTGAAACTCATTTACATGCAAAGTTAGTTGATCCCTTAGCTTACTAATAGAACCAAATTTCTCATGGAATAATTCTTTAGTAATGGTATTCTTAATTAAAAATCATTTTTTATAGTCGTACTACTAAAAATAAAATATATTCACTATATATGTAATGTAATTGGACAATCATACACATTTTTCATTGTTTAATTGAAATCAATATTTTATGGATTTTTTATTTAAATATTACTAAAATACTTATTTATACAAATATGACTATTACTTACTACTCCCTCCATCCCGCTAAGATTGTCCCATTTTACCTTTTCGGGAAGTCCCACTAAGATTGTCCCATACCAAATTTGGTAAAGATTGTGTGGCTCTAAATCATTCTCACTTTATTTTTACTTTATCAATTTAATATCAACCACACAAACCGACTTTTCTTAATAATCGTGCCACCTTCTCTTGTCTCAATCTTAGTGGGACGGAGGTAGTACAATGTAGTGTAATGGTAACGTAAGTTTAAAAAGTGAACATAAGTTGCTATGATTTCATTAATACTTTAGTCACTAGTCACATTTTTTTAAACAATCTTTATTTTAGTCATAAATATGTAATTATTTCATGTTTAATTTCTTATACTCCATATTAGACAACATACATTTCAACTTGCCTCTAATACATTTACAATCACGTGAGTTACATCTCAAATGAGATGTGTGTTAAAACACCCTACCACTGAAAAAATAAGTTTTTTTCGGTGTCCGGGGGAGGGGAGCCGGGTGTGAAGTAATCAGTGACCCCAAACTATTTATGTGGAGACTATTCATTTTTTGAAACCATAAATACTTTTCTTTTATAAACAAAGATTAATTGCCTGTGCATTAACAATTACCGGTACCACGGTTGCTGACCAGCCCAAAGTCGAAATGATGGCCATCTCCATGTCAGCTTGGTCGCAGCTTTGACCCGTCCGTGAAAAAAGTAAAAAACGGCATCAGATATTGCTGAGCTGCTACGTGGCAATCTGACCCTTTTAAATAACGGACTGGTCCTACTATACTTGACTCGTGTATAACAAACCGATCACCATGCAATTCGGTCTCCTCGTTTATCAATACGCGGCGCCGAGACACCGTTCCAGTTTTTCTTCTCCACCAATCTCTGTATCAACGCAGCACTGACAATGTAATACCAATAATACCCCTTTCATTTCCATTGAGATTTTCGATAAAACCCTATGAATTAGCTTAATTACTTCTATACTGCTTCCATCAATGGCCACCGAACTCTCTGTTGTTCTACCCCGAGTCCTCATCGTCTCCAGAAGAACCGTCCGCAAGAACAAATTCGTCGATTTCGTCGGTATTTACGTAACGCCGTCTATTTCTCACATTTTATTTGACTGTTTTTTTTTTGTTAAATTAATTTTGGGTTTTGAATTAGGAGAATACCATCTAGATCTTATCGTGAGCTATGGAGCAGTCCCTGTCATCGTCCCGAGAGTCGCTGGGGTCCACATGTTGCTGGACAGCTTCGAGCCGATCCACGGCGTTCTCCTCTGCGAGGGCGAGGATCTAGATCCGTCCCTCTACGAGGCGGGTGCACCGTCGGATCTCTCTCCTGATGAGCTGGACGAGATCCGACGGGTGCACGCCAGCGACACCGCTGTGGACAAGGAAAAGGACACCATTGAGCTTAGCCTAGCTAGGGTTTGTCTCCAAAGGAATATTCCGTTCTTGGGAATATGCCGTGGATCTCAGGTGCTCAATGTTGCATGTGGGGGTACATTGTATCTGGACGTTGAGAAGGAAGTGTCCAAGAAGATCCCGACGGAGGGAGACCGGAAGGCCGTGAAGCACATAGATTACGACAACTACGACGGGCATAGGCATGTCGTAAAGGTTGTCGAGGACACGCCGTTGCGGGAGTGGTTTAAGGATTCGTTGGAGATGGGGAAGATGGAGATTTGGGTGAATAGCTATCACCACCAAGGAGTCAAGAAACTGGCTCAGCGGTTCGTTCCGATGGCGTTTGCCCCGGACGGGCTGATCGAAGGGTTCTATGACCCGGATTGTTATGACCCGGGTGAGGGGAAGTTCATAATGGGGCTCCAGTTCCATCCGGAGAGGATGAGGAAACAAGATTCTAATGAATTTGACTACCCCGGGTGCCTCTTTGCCTATCAGGTACCATCTTGTTGAAATGTTGTTGTTGTTGTTTGGAAGTGTACATTTTATATCATTAGATATACAAAAGAGGAAGTGTAATTAGAAATGCATAAATGACCTATAGTATGATAACTATGATTCAAACAAAACAGGAAGTGTTCAATTAGAACACTGCTATGCCTACTTATTTATACGTAGTCGGTATATGCACCGGCGTACGTAGGGGATAAAAGAGGAAGTGTTTGGTGTACACCTTTTTTATGTATACATTTTAACACACATTGTATATTATACTTTTTTGTGTACACAAACAGAATTGTCTTTATACGTAGACAAACAAGTGTGTCAAAGGTGTACACAAAAAACGTGTACACCAAACATATTTCTAAAAAGAGATCGGCATATTTTAGTTGCCAATCTTTTTAGATTTTAATTGAGTACCCGTAGTATAACTTAGCTAATTTTGGTCAAAATCCCTAAACAAAGTGAAAAAATGGACCTCATTTTTTATGGGTATTTCTCTTAATACTACTTGAATAATACTGAAAATAAAAATTTACACACTAATTAAATAGTAACTTCAATTCAATCACAACTACAATCATAACACCATTAAATAGGACCACTTTTGAATTTTTGTTTATGACTTCAACTTTAGTAAGGT